TCACCTCTTTTCAAAGTGGGGCCTATTGTGAAGCTGGTAATTACGATGCAAATTCAGCATTTTTATTTCTTGGCAACACACAAAGGCCAAGCACAATATGTACAAGAGCCAGGGTATGCCTTCTTTCACCGTGTTCGCTTGAGCGTTTTAAATGTACAGTGAAAACCTACCTTTTAATGTTGCATTTGTACAGTGATATACTGCACTACACAATTCATGAGTTTACTAATTTTATCTAGTAGGGCTATTACTATTTTTGATTTCAACGTAGGTTTAGCTGTGATTCGTTATTTTAGTGTCACCATGTCTGGTATAATTACTTTTCTTTTATCGTAGGTAGGGTTAGAGGCGTCTGTCCCCGGGAAAGATCGAGACATCACCGATGCCAGCAGGGTTAGGTTCTCCCTGTTGGCAGGGCAGACGTATCCCCATACTGTGGTTTGGGTACTAGCCTATTTATCCTTATCCTTTCATTTCTTAAATTAATTACTTTTTACGTTAACTTGTACTGCGCCATTGATCATTTTTATGGAAATGGCGCATTATAAATGTTCAGTTATTATTATTATTGTTTTCCTGAGGTGAGGTGGGATGCGATCCATTTCGCTCCCATAGGAAAGCACACTAGTAAACAAAGCATGGCATGCTTGTGTTTATGTCTATTCTTTGAAGCAATGGCAGCTTATCAAGACAAGAATTATAAAGACAGGCCAGCACACTATCATAATCAAGAACTGATGCAGACAATAAGACCAGACATGAAAATGGATATGGGTGTAAAATACAGCGCTTCGTTCCAATTTGACACTAGCTGTTACCATCCTCAATCCTCCGAACTCATCCTGGTGGTTTTGGAGGATTGAGGCTGAATGCATTTTTTCTGGATGATAATGGAAGGACTTTGAAGGATTGAGGATGGTTTCTAACAAAGAGGCCTGGGGTATTAGGGCCAGCAAATGTTAGTCTCCTGGCCTGTTACTGAAACATTGCTTAAGCGACTAGCAACTCATTTGTTAGGTTCAGGGGTGTGAGTGGCCACTTAAAATTTAAGTTGAAAACTGCTAACAGAAGCTGAAATGTAAAAGGTTCCCATACTTCTGTGCAGACCTAGTTTTCAAAAAAACCTGAAATTCAGGGTCAACATCGAAGCAAAAAGAGCTGAACTCAGCTAAAAAGCTAAAATTTCTGTGGGTTCAAGACCTCTGCCTACAAAATATGAAATTTAAAGATCAGTCAAAGGTCGTGGTATGGAAACAATGAAGCAGTCAACTGTGCTTACCTATCTCAGAGGGCAGTGACTCCAATTTATTCTCCTCGAGGTCCAAAACCCTCAACTTGGTCAGGCAGCCAATACCTCGAGGGAGTTTCTTAAAGAATGAGAATAAAGAAACATGTCATATTCTTACAACTGTAACTAACACTCATCGGTTCTTCTAAGAACCACACCCCTTCCATGGTGTACCTGCAAGCCAACTGTAAACAACATTATGACTTCAGAACAAAGATGTCAAAGGAGGTGGATTAAACCCCCCCCCAGCTCTTTCAAAGTAAAGATGAGAATAAAAGTTATATGATCCAAACTTTACCCAGGGTAGCAAAATATTAATTATCTTGGAGAGACACAGCTGCCATCCATTTACTGTGCTGATTGTACTGTGCAACCTCCAAGCTAGTTTACTGGTCAAAGCACCTGATCAGGCCCTTGCTAAGGATGGGAAATAGTTACACAGTATGGGTCTTGAGCTGGACTAAAAGAGGGCGATACTTCCTTAGCAACGAAAGCTCCTTTGGTACTAACTGCACATTGCGGTTTCACAAATGACCAGAAAATGCACGCAATGCAGTCACATGGCTACCAACAGAATGAATACTCCAACACAACATGGCTCTTTGCAACTGACGAGGGGGTGCTTCTGCTCAAGGTGGACTGCGGAGAAGAGCAGAGAAAACTCCTGTGAATTCAAGCAGCTTACCTTGAGAAAGTTGTTACTGAGTATAAGTACTTCCAGTGATGTCAGGTGCTGGATGTCTTCAGGAAGTTTGGTTAATTGATTGGTTCCAAGATTTAGCTCAACCATGGTTATCCAACTACCAACATCTGGAACACAACATGGCAATATCAATTAATGTCATGAACTCTGTACAGAGATTGTGCATGGAAGCCATCTTTCCAGTAACTGATTTTGTTACGGAGGGATAGTACAAAAGGTCTACTCATGTGTATCCCTGTGGAACAAAAGCTCTTACCAGAAGAATACCCGACATGCAGACCCTCTACAACTTCTTGGACTGTGGATCTAACACACTCTAAGTATACATCACCTCTGCCTTGCATATCTTAAGTGCATCACACCAAGATGTGATGTGTTACCAGCGATAAATATGACTACAAAGCAGAAAAGGTTGACTATGCCAACTAGTATTGGACTTTTACAGTGAAAGGTATGACCAACTGAACTTACCGTCAAAATGTATAAGACGGACAATGCTGAGTTCCTCCCAGACTTTGACAATTTGTGTGTAATTTGATTGAATCATAGATTAACTAAAATCTCCTTTTAACCCCTTCATGCTGGGATTCTTTCGACTGTGACTGCTGGGCTGTGGTATGCCCAGTATGCAAAGCTCTGTCCAGCAGCGGGGGGGGGGCCCCATTGAACCAGCAGCGGGGGGGCCCCATTGAGCCAGCAGCTGCATGATGAATAGACTGTATGTGTGGTATGCACTAATCCTCACACAAAGCAAAGGGGTTAACAGCTTTTAGAGGGACTTAGTAACTTCTGCTTTTTTACACTGGACCAAACAAGGTAACCTACCTAATGGTAAGGCCATGAGTTTGTTATCTTTCATGTTGAGTTTGGTGACGTAACGGGCGCAACTGAAGATACCAAATGGAATCTTGTTGATCTGGTTATGCTCCATGTTTATTGACTGCCATGAAAACATCACACAATTTTTAAAAACACATGAATTGGTGAACAAGTTATTCAGATATTCTGCATAACACAACCCATGATCTTGATCTCTGCAAATATTAGCAATGTTTCATCAAAACTTTCAAGTGATGGGATTAAATAAATGTTATCAAGGTCAATGACCCATCTTTTTCCAGTCAAGCCAAATATTTGTTGATGAAAAGGCCATACTAGCCCCAAAACAAAAAAAAACAACTCATATGATTTCACGAGAGATTAGTTAAGTGACTGTTGGCAGCAAAGTGCTGCGATTCTCATGGAGAGTACTTACATAGACTGTAGCAAACTGTTGTGGCCCTCCTACAGGGTATGATGTGAAGTTGTTTCTTGATAAACACAGACTGGTGAGATTACTAAGACTGCACAGAAGCCCCTCCTGAAAGAGCCAACAAGAAATCCAGGTCAAGAACATCTCTCTTGACACTTGTTCACGGTTCATCAAGGTCTCTTGGCAGAAAACAGACAGCTTCTGGTTAATCAGTCACACTGTACACCACAAGGGCCCGAGTGACGGTCCTCTTGAACTGTTAGTAATTAACGCTGATCTAACATGTATTTTGAAGCAATGGTAACTCTAAATGCTCCACTACATGTATATTATATCTGAATTTCAGGGGGAAAATTTGCCATCAAAAACTGGGCACGAGACACTTGAAGTCAATGCAATAGCTGAGACAGATGACAACTGGGTAGCATAGTGTTTAACCCCCTATCCCCCTTATCCAGCTTCTACATGCATTTTCTAAGTAAACTTGAAGCCATGTGACTTACACTGTCTATCCACTATGACAAGAGCAGCGTATCCCTATAAAGGTTACTAAAGGAGTACATCACGTCAGCACAGTGAAATTACATTATGCACCTAGTCAGTTGTCACAAGCAGAATAAATTCCTGTCTTACCGGTAGTGTTGCTATATTGTTGCCTTCAACATTCAGTTCTTCCAATTCTGTACACTGGCTCAGAGTTTGTGGGACACCTGTTAGCTGATTATACCTGCACGGATACATCATTCAAGTAAGACAAAATATCGTCATCCATTACCAGAAAGAGATTGCTTTGCTAGTGATGATAAAACCTCTTGAAGTTAGCACAACGGGACAATAGATCTGTAGCATGATGACGTCAAGTTTGGTTTATGTTTACTTTCGTAAGGCAGGGAGGTATATGTACAACATGATCCATCGAGCTCCCACTGGAATGCACTCATGTAAACAAAACATAAAGTATTTATGTTTTTTGGCGTGCTCCTCTGTGAAGAAGTAATTCTCATAGACGAGGTGAACAGTTCATGCCTTATGTTGGCCCCAGTCTGCTTAAAATACAACCATGCCTTACCTTAGCCCTAGTCTGCTTAAAGCTCTGAGATGACCAATGGACTGTGGCAAGTCTAGCAGTTCATTGTGCTGGAGGTCTAATGATGACAACTGCACACAGTTACCAATCTCTGAGGGGAAAAAAAGAAACATGAATAATGGCAGGACTGTGGCAAGTTCATTAAAGGCCCAGAACCTTGAAAGATTAACTGTTTTGGCATGAGATAAAACCCAAGTTCCATTCTTAGTTGACTTCTGCCGCATGAAGATCATCTTTTCTGTCTTGGTGTTGTGATGATTTACATGTACTGCAGGCTGAAGTGAGCTACCGGGAGCAGTACATGTACGCATCAATTCACACATTCTGGGACATTGCCATTATCAGACTTACTTTTCTTTGGCCGACTCAAACTGCAGTGTAAATTAAGCCAGTATCTTTTAAAAAGAAGTTGGTCACAACCATACCCCTAAAAACTAATAGTTGGCATACCCAGAGACAACTTTAGACTTTCCTAGAAACTAATAGCTTCTTATTTTCTTGATATTTTGTAGTTACCTTCAGGCAAGTGTTCCAGATGATTGTGTGAGACGTCAAATGTAATGAGATGCACCAACATACCAATGCCCTTGGGCAGGGCTCGGATTTTGTTCTCTCTCAGACTGAGCATGGTCAGTTTCTGTAAAATGAATAATTGGATTTATGATGAAAAGGCTCATTGTACGTAGTTGAGATGTCTGTAATATGCAAGCACTGAAATGCAATATGCAGATCACAGGAAAATTTTTTGAGGAAATGTGACATTATGGCTGATGTAAGTAACATTAAGGTCCAGCAAGCGACTATTTGGTAACAGATCTGACAGCTTTCACTTAGGCACTAAGTGAATTAACGAATGGTTAAGCATAAGCAATGTGCAATTCTACCAAAAACATTGACTTCCCTTCCAAACAACCATGGATTCCATTTAGCCAAATCCTCTAAATACTCTAAAACCGTCAACAGGGTTTGGATGATTGAGGAAGGTTGAATTAATATACAAGCAAACATCTTACTGTGAGGTTCTGAAGACCTTCTCCAACATGAGTGATGCGATTAAACCTCAAGAACAAGGTTGTCAAGGAAAACAATGAGTGTACAACCTCTGGAATCTGTTGAAAATTAAAACAAATGAATAGAGGAACAAAACTTTCATATGATGTGTACACTGACAACTTTTGCGGAGAGTTGAGACTGTACAATACACGTGGCCAGCATTGACTTAAGAACACAAATCACGGAGAAGATTGCTACGTGCATGTTTAAATAAAATGTGAAGTTTCCAAAGCTGGTTTTTTTTATAGTATAAGCAGTCTTCTAGAAGAAAAGACGGGCCCAAAAGACACAAAGTGTCCACTTACTTCTTTTAGTTTGTTATGCCTGAGATCCAGCACTCTGAGTTTATGTAATTTGCTGAGTTCTGTGGGTAATGTAGTCAGTGAATTCTCATTCAATGCTAGCTGTTCAAGGTTACACAAGTGACCAGTCTCAGCGGGCAGGCTACACAAACGATTGCCGTATAGATATAACTCTCTTAACTGTGTCAACTGTAACAAAACAGAGGAGATATTTCATTAGTTTCTACAATGTTTTGGACATCTCTGTCCAGCACAAATTTGTGGTGCATCAAACCAACTTTTTACAGGTGAAACATCCACTTGACAGGCACCGTAACTGGTAAGTGCAGTAAGTTTCCATTAAAACTGCAGAATTTTGTACCAATTGTTACGCAGTAGAAATTTCTTTTGTTTTATGTACTTTGAGAGCATGAAGCTCTTATTAATGAGAACACACCACATTATCTGGATTGGCTCTATGCATTTGTGAGGAATAATTACAAGGCAGAGAGAGTTACATTTACAGTGTGAATTGCTGCATTTTACGTTTGCTAAAGACTTAACAGGGCAATGTTAGATTGAGCCAAAAGCAAACAATTTGCTCACCTCTTTCAGGGAACTGGGCAGAGAAGGGATCTGATGGTACAAAATGACACAGAATTATTATGCCAGTGTTGGATTTGGTGCTCTCTGGACACGAACTGTACAATACACCTGTACATTGCAACTAAACCACACACAATCAAGCCCTCGGAGGAACATAAAAACTACTACTGCAGATTTGGAACTAACGAAAGTTCCAGAGCTTTACACAAAGTTCTATTACACCCACACATGTATAGTACATACATGTACTTAACCATACATTGCTCCACCGTGGCTTTTGGAAAATGTTATTGTAGAGTTATTTCTTCTTTTTATTTATTCTCATGGAGCACGTTTCTCTCATTTTATTGAGATGTTATGTACTTCTTATCAATAATTTCTTTTTTATTGATGAAAAAACCATAAATCACTTTAGAACTTTTCATGTGACCATTCTTTTTGCAGTCATTTGCTCCCCTCCCCGTCAGCAACTGGACTTTCTGTCTTTGAGATACAAACCAGACATTTTCTCCATGCATAATGATCAATTTAGAGAAGGATGAAACCAGATGTACATGTAGTTTCAACCTGCCACGCTGGTTCAACTTTTAAGACATGTTCACAGCCAAACAAAAACATTATCTTTTAAAGCAAAACCAACTTACTGATTGTTTGCTCAAATCCAATCTTGTATCTCCTCGTTCCTTACATCGAGCAAATTCCTTACTTAGGTCCTGGGAAAAATTGAGGAATGTGTTTAAAGTTTTACCACTTCACAGTTGGATACCTTTACATGTACACAGTCCCTAGTACAACCGCTTCCTTGAGTTTCATTCCTCTAGAGACACTTCCAAAAACCTTTGTCAACATTCATGAATTAACCCCTTCACGCTGGGACGCGTTAAGACACGCCGTAAAATTGAGATCCTCAGCCCGCTTTTCAGCTATTATTCTCGGCCCACGCTTGAACGGACACGGTGAAAGAAGGCAGACCCTGGCTCTTGTGTGTATGGAAATTGGTCTTTGTGTGTCGCCCAGAAATGAAAAGACCGAATTTGCATCATTATCACCAACTTCGCAATAGTCCCCACTTTGAAAAGAGGCAACGGGAATGTGGAAGCTTGAGAAGAGCCGCATGCCACCGAACAATCAGCCTTCTCATCGTGTAATTCAAGAGAATTTGCGGTTTGGCAGGTGGCCTTCGTGGCCAAGCGAGGCTGGAATTCTTGGAGTCGGCTTTCAGAAAGAAATTCCCGCCGAGAAGGGGTAAAGACTCTGTGACTCAAAGGTGAGAAAGGGGTATGTTGATTTGGACAGAAGGGCTACATGTACATGTCCAGCATAGGGCAGTGCGGACATCCAGAAGTTGTACATGTAAGTACATACAACTACACTGTAAGTACGATGACTGGGTTAATATAAGAGAACTAGGTTGCCATAGTACCTCTCTCCTTCATTTCCACCTCAATGTTCAAATCTCACGAAGGTCAACTTGTGGATTGGGTTTTCAGACCCTAACAGCAACCATGGGTTTTCCCCAGAATCCTTCAACCTCAAAAAGTGTACATTTCTTCATTGTCTTCTTCATTGTCAATTATAATCATCCAGTAATTTGCACTGATTGAGTTGTTGAATGAACAGAAATAAAGAGCAGAACTCACCACATCTGGATGCGCTGATCTCGGCTTCTTCTTGCCTGTGTTTTTGATGTTGTTATCAGACACTTTCACAGTTACTTGTTTCTTAGTGCTTTCTGGTGTAGCACTCTGCTTGTCACTTTTTCCTGATGCACTCATCTTGCTTGATAGTTAAGGACCAACGATCATCAATCACAAGCAAGTGTCCAATTACCAAAATCTAGATGAATTTTATTCCAGAAGCCAGTTATAAAACTTAATAACTGTTTCTTTGTAGTTTACACAAGACCTGTGAGTCAACCAAACACTTAAGCTTGCACTCACTTTACAAACACATGTTGAATGTGATTCATCAGAACTGTGTCCTTGGCTGACACATAACATGAACAGTATCAAATGTCTTCTGTCAGTACCAATCCAGGAGGGGCATTACAAGGCGTGAGTTGATGGACCACCACCATTCCACCTTGATTTGTTTCCTCTCATGCGCTAAGTTTTGACAGATAAATCCTGCATGGACATAAGGAGAGAAAATTCCTTTAAATATACATGTACCCTCTGTTGCATTAGCATCCTTTCTTAATATAGCTTGTCGCTTGTTACGGTTCCTTAGACTGGTGGCTATCTACTTCTGTTGCACCAATCCGGAGCACTAGAAACTGAAACCAGAAAAGTCTGTGGCAACTAAATGTAGATCTTGAACGTTATTTCCCTTTAAAAACTTACTTTGGGAGTTTGAATTTACCAAAAAATGAATTGTTGTAGCCATTGTACTTGAGTAAAACATGAAAGAAAACAAACATGACAAAGATGAAAAAGGGAAGTGCTCCATATACAGATGCCAGTAATTATTCCCTCCAGTGACAAACTTTATTAACCTTCAGAAAGCAAAAACATGTCTGGAAGAGTACAATTTGGGAAGGAAAAAAAACAAGTCATTTACTTAGAAAACATGAAGCAAATTATATAGGGAAACTGAGTAAGAGCAGACAAAGGATTAAAAAGATGAACAAAGAAATTGACTGAAGTGGGATTTGAACATGCGTCCTCTGGAATACCGCACCAGTGATTTCCAGCTGAGCTATCCAGCCCTATGTTGGTGGCCCTTCCCATTTGTCATATTTTTGTTCGGGGGGAGCTACCGTAGCCAGAAGGCATTAAACCTAAAAACAGAACTTTTCAGACCAGTCTCATAGGGTTTGTGCATGGGGTGTTAAGTGGCGTCCGTATATGGAACTCTTTCCACAAAAAACACAGGGCTGGACTATACGCTTTCGAGTCAATTCGTATCACGGACGATTCTTACCTTAAACAGCTCATACCTTGGACAACACATACCTCAAGTTCAGGCCACTCGTACCTTTATGTTTGCAATTCGCTTGTGACTTCCCTGCTCTTCCTTTTCAGCATGTTTAAGATCAGATTTGGCAAAAATATTAAGGAAAAATGATTTTCGTTCGTGCCTGCTGTGGGCGTTTGTGCAATCGGTTTTCATGACCATGGAAGATAGAAGGATGTCGAACAGCCCGACCTTCTACCAACTTGACTTCCTTATTAACACTATAAATTCTGGGGGGGGGGGATTTGAGGGGGACTTCAATTTATTCTTATGGCTCTGGGAAAATGTTAGATTGGACTCTTTCATTTTGTGTGGAAATGAGGGCTGGCTTTGTTAACTTTGGGGGTGTACTTAATAAAACTTGTTATGTCCTGATTTCTTTTGGAAATGTTTCTCATCTCCTTTTTAAATTGGGAGTGGTTGCCTTCCTTATAAAAATTTTTTTTTGGACAAGTTACAACCGACATTACTTTATAAACTTTAGAGTAAATGAAACATGACATCACTCCATCATCGCTATGGACTGCACGTTGACCAGCGTCAGTTGCCTGACTGCGCGTGCACATGCACGATGTTGGCACGAATAATGTCATCCCACCGGCATGCCAAGAAGGCAGTCTATCCAAAATGGCAAATTGTCCATGGTACGAGTTGTCCATGGTACGAGTTGTCCAAGGTACGAGTTGTCCATGGTACAAGTTGTCCAAGGTACGAGTTGACCTTTTCCCAAATATACTTGTGGGCAACATGTATCGCATGAGCTACTGCTACGCCAGCACTACACTGGCTTAGTGAAAAATCCAAACACTATGGAATGGTAATAATGCTTACTGCACAGTGCCAAAACTACAGAATTTCTAAGTTATGCTGAAGCCTGCATCCACTAGGCCTAGGCTAATGTTTTGCTAAACATTTTACATTGGTGTGAACTAGCCCAGGTTGGACGTCGTCTACAGGCATTGTGACTAATGTCTAGGGTATAAAAGTTTTCCTCTTCCTTCAATATGAAGATTTTTCAACCTTTTTTCTCACATTTTTACCGGCGAAGATAACTCAAACTTCGTTCACAAGTGCCTTGTACCCCGAATTCCATAAATGTTGTGTTGAAAAATACTAAATACGCCCGTGGACAACATATTTTGCCTGAAATTCAGTGCAACTCCACACTTTCTGTCATGAACGATCTACATGTACGTTCGTCTAGTTCGCATACTTACACATGCGCGAAATGCATAGTAACAGATCGCCCCTTACACAGCGCAGAAGAGCTGCGGGCGTAAGAAGTCACAGATAAGGCTGTGCCTGAAACACACTTCCAAAGCTACGGCTAGGTCTGTTGTCTGCGCATCTCCATGCATTTCCAGTGGAGTGAAGACCTAGCTCTAGACAACATAACAGAATAAGGGCCGAGCTTGGAGGTCATTTCACGCATGGGCAAATGCGGAAAACTTGAAGTTTCACAAAAATTTCCTGCAAAATATGTTGTCTGTGGGCATATTTAGTAATTTCTACATAGCTTTTATGGAAATTGGGATACAAGGCACTTAAGCGCAACATTTTAGCTGTCTTCACCAGGTAAAATGTGAGAAAAAAAATGTTGACAAAAATTTTGCATTGTAGGAGGACTTTCAACCCAGGACGTCAGTCGTAGTGTAAATGAAGACAACGTCCAACCTGGGCTAGGTGTGGACTAGCCCCAGACTGTGGGCCAGTCTACTGGACTCCCTCCATATCCTTGACCCCACAGTGGCTAATCCAAAAGTGGACACTCTGCTAAAACGCCTTTTATGAAATCCCTTTTGAGTGTATGGATCACTTAACCCTAACACTCCTCAATCCTTCACCTGTTGGAGGACTGAGGAATGTTAGGGTTAATACCCCATCTAAACATCGATGTATTACTTTGGGCAATTTCCAGTTTGTAGAAGTCCATGAAATATTGGTTTCGATTTGGGCCATTTGTTTACTACAGCGATTAACTCCTGATCGTTGAATGATGCCAAACACAGTTGGGATCTGTTTGGTCTGGGAAACAGTCAGCATTATTACATAGATCGCAAGACCATGACGCTGCCAAAGAACATTGATGAATGATAAACCGAAATACATGATGCTTGGGATCTAGTGAACTCATTGCCAGACATAGCGTGGCGCAGCATGGCACGCACACCATTCGCTCATCCAATCCACTGATTTCTCAGTGGTCCAATCCCCATCCCGCACAATTATGACTTGCATCCATGAAAATACCCAACTATTGTACTAATACTATTGTTTTCGTCACATTCATTGCATTTACACATACACATAACTCAGTCATAGGCCTAACATGCCTGAGGCTTCATTGCGAGTGATACACAGTCACAGATCAAACAGCAGTTTGGATCACTTAGACAAAGTGATCCAAATGCTGTTTTACCAGAGACTGTTTTATCAGTGACAGCATTATACTGTCTGGTTCCCAGATCGAACAGACTCTGTGGGGCCAAGGATACAGAGGGAGTCCAGCAGACTGGCCCCCAGTCTGGGGCTAGATTGATGTGGACATAGTACTCAGTTAGTAGGCCCTATGCATTGTACTGACATGGTCAGCTGGTGAAGGATAATTTGTTCACAAGTTCCTACAACATGCACCGAGACGATGGTGCATCAACCTTGTTGTGCAAAGCATAATTTCGGGATTGACTAGACCTGTCACTGCGAGTCACGCAGAGCTACAGTGCAAGGGAACTGTACACGTTTACATTCACAATCATTAGACGCCATGGACATGATGAAGCCCGGGCCCATTTACGCCATCTTGATGTTTATCATCTGCGATTTCCCCCGTCCTTTTTACAAATGCAATGTTCGAAACCTTTCTGACGGTATTAAAGAATTTAATCCAAGTGCAATTTCGGAACAAACTTACCACTTTCACTTTAACCAAAAGCTAATGGGTACAAGTAGGTTATTTTTGCAAGATCTGCCTAGATATCATGGCATTTGAAGACAGAAATTTCCGTCTTTTCTCTCGTAGATTTTGCTGCGAGGCAGGGTGAGACTTCACTGGTGATCTATTAAGTGGCTGTACAAAAGACACGCAAGCATGGCAGACAGATTTTAGCCGAGTACCAGCAATTACTACATCTGCGCAAACGTGATGCGCAGATTTGTTGTGACCTGTTAAGTCACTTCGAGGGTTTCTAATGAATAATGATAATTTATGTCTGGTGTTGGCCGCAGCGTACCTAGCTGGCTTGGCCACTTGTGTTAGCTAACATACTTAAATACATATAATAATAATAGTTATATATCACACTGAAGATTTGATTATGACCGCTACAGATGTGTCCTTTAATTCACAGACAATTATGAACTCCTCCCGTCAGGAAAACGCTATCATTTAAAAGTGCAGAACTACCCGCGCTGGACAAATTAAGTTTTCTTCCTAAATCCAAACAACTAATTATCCAAATATCAGTCAGCTGTGAGAGGTTTGTACGCTGTTTGTTTTACATTAATATGAACTGACTATTTTAAAACTATTTTCAAACCTTTAATATTTTATATATGTAGATTGTTTTAAAGATCTTTAGGTATATTCAAATTTCAAGGCCGCACATAATTTCTCCAATGAGAAATAATAAAGTTTACTACTCTAAGCCGGTCTCTGATTGAATCGGATCACATTTGATTGAGATTCAGCTTAAGTTGATGCTGTTACCAAGTCGACTAGTCAAGGTGAAATTGCATCAACTTTTGTGTCATCGCTAATGATTAAAATGCGCCGGTACCTGCCACTGGGGAGACCGGATGCCTGTATTGAACATTTTCTTCCCCATTCACGATTATACCTTCTGCCACTGCAGCTAACATAATTCCTTATTTTGAATCATCTTTTGTGGGAAAGGTGTTTACAAATGGAGTTGCTGCAAATCCAGTATATTTTCTTTTACCCAAACTAAGTGTAGCCAGAACCTCTGGCTATTCAGGCATTTTGCAGAATTTATTTTCACATACCGTTGGAAAACTTTTGTAAAATTTAAAAGATAAGGTCGCATTTTTATCCGTTGAAATTCAGAGACTACACAAAAAGCTATGTATTTGAAGATGTGTCGATTAAATCTGTTCGGCCGTATGTATGTCAGGTTTCCAAAGTGTCATGTAATTGTTAATTTACAGTAAAGTTGTTGCCTCACGAAATTGGTAACTAAATTTCATTCACAGTTTGTCGATTTGGCCAGTGCACACTTTGTATCTGATTTGAATTGAATCAAAATGAGCCAAGGCTGTCAGATTTGGAGTTCAGTTCGTCCTCCGGAGATTTATCTAAATCTGATTCGAAGCACATCTTGAATGGCCAGCTTAGACTGGACTTATTTTTCTTCTAAACAGTCAAACAGGCTGAGCTCTTCAACTAGGATATTTTTCCCACATAGAGATAGTCATAAAACAAGAGTACTTGTAACCAACAGTGATAAGAGGACCATTCGATTGCTGATACAGGCTTTCAATAAATCAATAAGCAAATTACAATGATAATCTCCGGCATAAGTATATCTTGCCCTGGGCACTCTGTAAGCATTGAAAGTTCGTAGACTTCAAGGATTTTGTTTTTCTTTCCTTTGCAGGTGCGGAATTTTGGTCCAGGTCCGACATTTTAAGGGCGTGGGATGGTTGCAGCCCTTGATAGCTCAATGGTCCGCTCAACTTCTACCTGGCTTCAATTTTAGGTCATCAAGAATTTCCCAATATTCTTACCCCATTTTATTTGGCCATTTTGTTGGAAGAATTCCCACCCAAAGTACTAGATGGCTGCGCTTTTACTCACAGAGTCAGTATTTTGGAGGACCATTTTAGTATTTTTTTGAGTTATTTTCTACTTTTGTTGGGTGGTGGGGGTTATTCCTGGAGGCCGAACGTACTAGATACCTGACCACGAGACGTTGCTCGTTCCGCGCGCAGTGGGTACAAGTGTAAAGAGGTAAGAAGCTCCCCACACTTGCCGAAAGAGGGCGCTTTCTTTTCATCGTCAATGTAAATAACTTCTTGACAATGGCGAATCATCCGTTACGCGTTCAAAGTGCCCTAACTTTCAGGCTTTATAACCGCCCTTTTTCACACTACACTTGAGTAATTATAATCATTTCGAAGTCAGAAACATGGAGGAACTTGAAGACAATGAAGGTAATGTACAAGCTCTTGAATCGCAGAGAAAAGAAGTCATTTCTGAACGTGCTCCACCATGTCCACGAAGTTAACGTAAAATGGTGATGCTCGACAGTAACGTCAGACGTCAGGCCTGCACATGCAACACAACTGAGTGATCTTTATGAGTCATTATTTCACTGTATATTGGTAGGCTTATAGGGCCACGCCTGATTAATTGCTGTTCAACTCCTGCCCCATGCCAAGATGTGGGGAGTGGGGATTGTATCACTAGGCACTATCACATGTACGTGTATCACTTGCATATCGAAGTGACCTGACCTGCTGACATGTCCGAACGTAGCCCCACTACTACCACTAGGCCTAGTGTGGCATGGACTTTCGCTACCACTCCATCCTTAGCCACACATCCTTATTTGCATGTTAGTGTAGTCAGATAGTGAAAAAGTTTGGCGCACCATCTTATAATTGTTGGCGTAATTTTTTTGCACACAGAGATGATCCTTAACCTCTCCACTTTCTTAGCGCCATTTACATGATTTAGGCCTATTGACTAATTTCACTCTCGTTTTTCTGGTATATTATAGTCTTTTTGCCTTCACCCATTCAATCTCATGGGCTCGCTGTCACAGTCGCCATCTTTAAAATAAGGTCGTTGAACATTATGCCACTTGACCCCTCATCGTCTCCACGGCTGTTCCATGTCAAGACATGCGAAAAGATACATGTACTACATGTACATGTACCAATGGCCTCTTCCAAAAATCACGCCTACGATTATAAGAGGGTGCGCCAAACTTTTTCACTACGCTGACACGCAAATTTTGTATACGGATGTGTGGCTAAGGATGGAGCGGTAGCAAGAGTCCGTTCCACACTAGTGGGGTTAGCCCGAACCGAGTGAGTGATATTAATAACGCAGTGGCTGTTGTTACATCAGCTAGTAACGCATCTCCCATTTTCTGTTGTTACGGCACTGCAACTGCGCAAGCGCCAACTTAAGCGCAGAATTCTGACTTTATTTCCCTTTAAAAAAATCCTCCAAAGCCTCTGATAAGTAAGTAAAAGTAAGATAAGTAAGTAAAAAAAGATTCCTGCTTAGGCCTATACGATTAGAAACCAACATAAAAAACAATTATGGTATAAAACATGAAATTTAGGTGGAAAAAAATAAATTAGTCCAAGCGCAGATTTGAACTCTTACACCAGTGGTTCCTAACGTTCCACCTTGACCACTTGGCTACAAACATGACAAACGTACTATATAAACCCTTGTGATGATCAGCTACATGTACATCATGTACATGTACGTCATCGCACTTGCGCACTTCAGTGCCGTAACGATACAAAATGAGAAATGCATTATGACTGCCGTAACTATAGCCACTTCATATTAATAAAGTCTCCCCCACTCATTCACACTCCTCTTGCCATGTTGCCGAATGATTGAATATTATTAAATTTATTATTATTAATAATAACCAGAGTTGTCAGGCGAAATGTAATGAGCAGTATGCCGTGACCGTGACTGACTGAGGCTGTTTAATTAGCAAGTCTTGTCTTGAATGGCCAATGTCAGTCAGTCATACCAGTTTCAGTGGCATTCTTTTTGACCCTTTTACTTTAAAATTAGGGTCAACATGTTTACTGATGGAGTTACAGTATAAACATGACAATACATGTACATGTACATGTAGGTACAGACACAGCGCTAAATGTGGAGAGTGAGCATGGCGAGTTTTGTTCGGAACTTGTACTCATGGTTTGACTTTTCTGCCATAATAAACATGATCAGCATGTTCTCCTGACATGCTTTCATTTGCTACTGTACGTTTGACAGTACATGTGTAGCACTGACACGACTATGACATTACAATAACTTTGCAAATCCATATTACATGTATCTCAGATCTCATGCTCAAAGTTGATGGCCATAAAAGAAAAGGTACATGTACATGTATTTTCAAAGAAAAATTGATAAGTTTTTCATTCCTCCATACATGTACATGTATGTGTTACTTCATCAGATTTACACTTTTTGATATGAAAGAAAATTGGTCGCCAGATTTTTGATAGTTATTCAGTCATATTAAGAAAGAAAATTGGCAGCCAGATTTTTGATAGTTTTAAGTCATATTAAGAAAGAAAATTGATAGCTAGACGTACAATACATGTACCAACCAGACATGCCAGAGGGAATCTTTGCAGGACTTGATTTTAGAGTTTAACTGTGGACATGGTGGAGTGTATCTTACATCTTGTTGGCCAACATAAATTTATTGATAAGGGTGCTGCATAGGTGTACATGAATATGTAATTTAAGGTAGCTTTTTGGCTGCCACGGCTTCTTGGCAGAAAACTGGGGTCTTGTTTACAGTCATACAGTTCACATGCACATTTCTTGACCAGTAATTTACTTTGCACAGCAAGCAGAATATTTGGCCATCACCCTAACCCTCCATCCAGGGTCATGTACATCTACATGTACAGCTGTATGTTCACCCAGCACTGCTGGTGTATCAATTTAGTTTTATACATGGAATTGTGCATGTACATGTATGGGACGGTGCATGACAGGGGTGTCCGGTCTCCTGCAACTGCGGCTTCAAATTTTGATTAAAAGAGGCAGTGGTGAAGAACCATAGCCAGTGTTCGAACTTGTGCATGCCATACAGTCTCACATGGAGACTTGCATCATGTGTTGCCAACATACGTACATGTACACGACATACATGTACATGTACGTGTACATTGTAAACTGTTGAAACTATTTCTTGTAGGGGTTTTCCTGAAGATGCCGTATGTACCCCACTATATATTTGCAGTGGATGTTGGTAATGACATACATGATAAAGCCAAAAGTGCAAAAAAATTTTTAAAAGAGATACATGTACATGTATTGAGCTATTTCATGCAGCATCGTCATTAGAGGCGAGTATCGATTTTTGGACATTATCATTTAAACTGACTTTTATCGACAGCATTAAACCCTACTAAATTCTACAATATTCGAATATCAACTGGACTTTTGGTTAGACAATGAATTGTTGTGACAGAATCAAATCACAGCCAACCAGATTTTTAAGTTCATGAATCTCGCTTTAGAAAACTTTTGCAAGCTAAAGACCATCACTGCATCAGGATGGCTTTAATAGTTCAACACTGGCTTCATATTTATGTGTTTTACATTCTTGTGGAAACCCCGGGTGCAAGGATATCATTTTTTTTTTACATTAAGAGAAGAAATAAACAAATATTCACTGCTTAAAAAAAGCTGATGCATATTTGATTACAAAACATCATTGACTAACAAAATAATCCATCAGACATCTTGTTTCCATCACAAAGCTCACTGGCATTTGTGTGTGACCCTAAACTATAAGCAAAACTAAGTTGAGGAAGGAAACATACTGTATAAGGTGCTTTGGCTCTTGGTGGCTGGACATATCACTCTGCATCATTATGTCTAAGTGGCTTGCCTGCACAGTGTAACAAGATCCAACAGGTCAACTCTCCCCAAGGCCAGACAGCCTGGGAGTCTGTGGTTGCTAGTCACCACAAGATCCAACAGGTCAACTCTCCCTAAAGCCAATCAGCTTGGAGTCTGTGGTTGATAGTCACCACAAGATCGAACTGGTCAACTCTCCCCAAGGCCAAACAGCCTGGGAGTCTGTGGTTGCTAGTCACCACAAGATCCAACAGGTCAACTGTCCCCAAAGCCAATCAGCTTGGAGTCTGTGGTTGCCAGTCACCACAAGATCCAACAGGTCAACTCTCTCCAAGGCCAAACAGCCTGGGAGTCTGTGGTTGCTAGTCACCACAAGATCCAACAGGTCAACTCTCCCCAAGGCCAAACAGCCTGGGAGTCTGTGGTTGCTAGTCACCACAAGATCCAACAGGTCAACTCTCCCCAAGGCCAAACAGCCTGAGTGAGAGTCTTTGGTTGCTAGTCACCACAAGATCCAACAGTGGCATTGTTGGGACTAGCTTCCATTGTCTTTAACATGACCAGTTTGTTTGGCTGCGGTTGAATGTCTGGTGCATCAAAGTGCCTCAGACTTTTTCACCAGATGCACTGCATCTGGCAGGTCTAGATTAATGTGCATAATGAACACGTTTATGGTGGAAGAAAAAAATTATAAGTGCTACATACAGGTGTACTTGATATTCACACTGATTGTACACGTATACCACACCACTGTACAGAGGACCTTCGTGGAGCACCCTCACAGAGGACAAGTCTTTGTTGCTGTGCTTGAGTAGACACTACTGTATTTCATTGTCACCTTAACCTAAATAACAAACATGTCCTCTGTGAGGGCGTTCCATACAGGCCCTCTATTGAACACAGACCCTTGAACTTATTAGAATGACAGAAATTTCCATACATGTGGACCACCCTAAAAAATCAATAATGTGCTTGGGAGCAACATATTGGGTCTCAGGCATATACTGTACTTTAGAATTGACACATGCTCATAGCAGGTGATGGTGGGTGTGTGGAAAACAGCTGTGACCAATGATATGATAGATGTCCTGAAGGTTAGTCATTGTTGGCAAATACTCGATAGTGTCACACCCTAGACAATGCAACTACAGCTTCCCCAGACTGTCAACTAACCACCTGACCACTGATAATTGGCTCCATATTGCATATTGCTCTGTTATTTTTCAGTTAGGATTTTGTACATTTGATGTGATGACATGATTGGCTCAACTTTCATCCTTGCGTTCAGTTGTAGTACTTGTTCTTGTCTTTTTTCCTAAATGTTACACAATCCTGCAGTGAATTGTGGCATTACCTGTTGATGGATTAACAGTTGGACATTATACTCATTCCAGTTGGACAAAGGAATCATGGCACTCAGAGGGAAAGTAGTTTATTTTCAAGGTACATGTACTGTGCAAATGCATTGCAGTATTGTGCAAACACATGCATCTTATAGAGAGAATGTGCAGCGTGCATCATGGGTACATGTACAATGTACATACATGTACATGTATACTGGCAGGCAGACTTAAACATGATACTTGTACCATGTACATGTACATGTATCATATCATGTGCATACCAACTACATGTACCATGAATATGTGTAGAGTTATGAGTAAATAATAGGGAGGTTTCAAACGCTAACGGTTACATTTAGCACGCGGGTTATGTCACCAGTTTATGTGGTGTCATGATGTTATACACAGGTCACTCTCTGCTAATCGTACACACGGCATGGACTTGCTACTTGTACAAAACGTGTAATTTCAAATTTCCAGTTAATCTGTGTTACATTCTGTATGTATTCACAATCTGAGTGAAAATTACTGAATTGCTGATGTTCACTGGTTGGTTTTGTGGGTTTTTAAAATCTTTCAAATACAAAAACATTAGTGTACAAAAGGTCAATTTCAAGGTGGTTTCCAGTGTCAGAAATAGACTTCGCGAAACAATGTATAGATCGTTAACAGATACAGAGAGCTAAATGTTCATCCGTTCACATGCGAAACCTCCCTGCAGACCAAACAGTGCTTACTCATGTCAAACGTTATTAGCATGTACATTCATGTGTGCACAGTACAAGTATTAATGTAAATAAGTAAATACATGTACTGTACATGTAAACTACTTTCTTATTTCTAATTCTTTCCTTTTTCAAATATTTTTTTTCAGATGATCAGTTTTTCTTCAGCCGTGCTCCAAGAATGCCAGAAGATGACATCATTATGTCAGAGGTTGCTATCCTTACAGGTACATTCACCATACATACATGTACATGTATACATGTATGTATCATTTGTTACATTTGCCTGGAGCAGAAGCACCCCCTAATTGGTTGAAAAGAGCCATGTTGGTTGGGAGTGTTCATTTTCCTGGTAGCGATTTAACTGTAATGTGTACATTTCTTAGTCGTTCATGAACCAGCAAAGTTGAGTTAGACCAAATGTGTCTCTGTTGCTGAGAACATTGTGCCTCTCTTGGTCCAGTTCGAGGCCCATTGCAGCTCTGTACAACATTTGCAACATTTTCACACCATAGGACATTGACAGTCTCCTCAGCTCTGTACAACATTTGCAACATTTTCACACCATAGGACATTGATGGTCTCCTTAGTAGTCTACATTGTTCTTTGTTTCCTTCTTAATCATGGAAATTGTGGAGGCATTCATTCAAGTGTCCTCGTAACCGAATTGTATTACTATTTTTTTCTTTTCAGGAGGGAGAGACCAGCATGGCAGGCCAATCATTGCATTTCCAGCCAGGTATCACACGATACTGGAGTCAAAGGTCAAAGCAAGTGGTATGGATAGTCTTCTCCGATACTACATTGACATCACAAGGTTTGTCATAACATGTGACCCTAACAAAAACGGTCTTCACTTGTACAATGATCTTTTTGTACAGTTTCTTATTAAAGCCTGGAAAGTGTACTCAGAAATCCACTTTGAGGCAATATTTCAATTTTTTGGCATGTACATGTACATTGAATGCTTGTGGAAGACAGTTACATGTACATGTATCATAACTGAGGTCTTTTTAATCTATAATGCCTTGATCTGCAGTCCACATAAATCTGTAATATAAATGTACACACAGTCTATGGACATGGCAGACAGCAAGGTCTGGTTTGATACACACATAGGAGACTTAGGGTTGTACAGCCCAGAATCCCTATGTTGGGAATTGGGTGCCAAAGTTGCTCAATGGATAGTGTCCGATTGGACAGACTTGGCTGTGAAGAATCTTAGTAGACTGCCTACAGGCACACAGTCTGTACACTGTACATGTAATATTGGCATAGTTAGTTGTGTTCTTGTGTGCACAGAAATTTACATGGGCACTAAACGTTTTCCTTGCATAAAAAAATTGCTGACAGACAGGTGATAAAACAAGCAGATGATGGCTTGCAAAATTTGTAAACAGTGCACATATCCATCATGCACAGCACATAATGAGTAGATGTACAATGTTTGCTTAAAGATCATTATCACTGTGGCCATATTAACATAATTTGGAAGGCATAAACATAAATTTATCTTTGGCTATATTACAGGGTAGCTGACAGGAAGCGTGGCTTTGCATTTGTCACCGATCTCAGATTCTCTACATTGGATTTTATTCTCCTGATGAAATCAATACTCAACAGCATCCAGGTAGGATGGTGTACATGTACATGCATTTTAATATTGTCACTTATAAAACATGCATACATGTCCATGTAGAAGTCATTTTACGAGCTGGTTTGCATTTTTTTGCAACAAGTGACGTCGGCAAACTGAGGCATTGCTTTGTACCTGAGCCTGGATTCATGACAGCAGCTTGGATTCCTGGCCCTTTAGCTCTAGAGTCTGTGTGTAAAATCCCTCAGTTGTGTAGTGTAATCTAACATTTACATGTAATTTTTGATTAAAATTAATTGAATTATTTAATTGAGATATGGTTTTTTGAAGGCTGGAAGTTATATACATGTACATGTACCAGAGCTGTATATGCTAACTAGAGTTGAAGTAAACAGTCTACTGTGCATACCCCGGTCATGCTTCTGCATATATTCGTACCAGCATTTGTACTGTGTTTTCAAGCTTCAGACATTGAATAAAATACATGTACATGTACCTATGTCAGTTTGAGACCTTCCATTAATTTTTATGAGGCTTTAATGTACGTACGCTTACATGTCAAAAAGATGTGGGTGATGTACATAATGTACCATATGTACAATTGTACACGTACAGATATGCAGACAGCACCCCAGGGCCGATTTCGTAGAGCTGCTTAAGCACATACATGTAAATTGCAAAAAAACCTTGCTTAATAAATAAAGGTCATCAGCTCAAACTCTGTGTGATTGTCATGTTAACCAAAAGACAGGTACCAGTAAACACCATTCCAAAACAGTATACATCACAAGAAGTTTTGGCTGGTAAACTGATTTCTCAAGCAAGGTGTTTTCTCACTTAAACATGTACATGCTGGTGGGCCAATTTCACAGCGCTGCTTAAGCGAAAAATTTGTTTAAGCATGAAAAAACCTTGATTGACCAATCAGGTTACCAGCCAAAACTTCTTGTGATGTTCTAGTATGTTGTTTTAGAATGGTATTTACCTGTCTTTGAGCTGATAACCTTTGTTTCTTAAGCAAGGTTTTTTTTCGTGCTTAAGCAAATTCTGTGTTTATAAGCGGCTCTATAAAATTGGCCCCCTTGGGTTGCTGGTATGTTATATTTGTACAAGTATGTACATGCACAGTGTTTGTGAAACAAATTGGAGACCAGACTAGGGTCAGTAACCATAGTAACCATGTTCATAAAGTTTAACAAATAATCGCTGATTGAACTTGACTCATGATGTGGTGTTGTTTGCTTAAAGCATTGAAATTCCATTTTATGCAGTAGTTTTTATGTTATGTTGTTTTGTTTTTGGTCAGGCTGAGATGAAAGGAGCAATAGGAACCTGTGTGCTTTATGCAATACTTCCACTCAACAAGAAAACGCACAAAGATACTTTGACTCATCTAGCGCTGAGACAAAGCAAGAAGAAGATGAACAAGAATATTATACCACCTTACTTCCAGGTAGGCCTTCAAGCAGTGTCATTGTTGAATCAGCCGGTTGGGTATTCCAACAGAGCATGCTCAGTACGAGGAACACCTATGGATGTGTGTCATAGTCTGTCCTATCAGCATAGCCATACGTTGACCCATGCACCTGCTGTGTGCCTGAAAGACCTTGGCTTTTTGAAATACTGAACTGGCTCATTGTGATGCTTTTTGTGCCATTTTTATAAACTCTTCTAAAGTAGGCATACGTGTAATAGTACCTTTGTCTATCAATGAAGCAGGTTTCCCTGACCTGTAAGGGGGAACCTCATTGATTTAGTGAGTACCTCAGCCTTTTCTGGCTTGTTTTGCCAACTCTCGCTGAAAACAGGAAAAAATTTATGTAAAGATAACAGAAATGTTGGACTAGTTCAATTTTAGATTGTTTCGTCTGAAACAAAGGTCTCAAACTACAAGAATGATGTATTTTTGCAGGAAGTAGGTTGAGAGTTAATGTACTACTACAGTTTTTTTAGGTCTTGTCAACAACATTTGTATTTACTGCGGGCATTTTTAATTTTGTCCAAATTATTTGGCCTCCCTCTTCTCACCAGCACCCCAGCAAAACCCTGCAATGAAGAGCAAAAATAACTTTTGATGTTTGTCTCTTGTTTACACGCCACAGTTGTAATGATATGATACAGCTAAGCTAGGTCCGGTATGAGCCTCCAGCTGGTGTAAGAGAGGGTGCTATGGTTTCTTACCGGTAGCAACAGAGGCTCCTTTTGGTTAGAACTGAACTTCGCTTGTTCATGGATGACAATGAAAATGCACACTTGACCGTCACATCGCTACCAACAAAATGAACACTTCCAACCAATATGGCTCTTTTAAACCAATGAGGGGATGATTTTGCTGGAGGCGGATAATGGTACATGAAACTATTTCATCTAATTCATGTCTTTAGCTGTCTTTCTTCTCTATGTTATAGAGCGTTGCCATTGATGATGAAGTGGAGCTGTACAACTACATTGAGAAATCTCACCTGACACCAGAACTAGGAGGCTATCTACAGTACTCACACCGTGATTGGGTTGCATTTAGAAAGGTGAGTCACTGAGGTCATGGTAGTGTAGAGGCTGGCTACAGTACTCACACCATCATTGTGCATTTAGAGGGGTGAGTCACTGAGGTCATGGTGGTGTAGAGGCTGGCTACAGTACTCACAGCTTGATTGTGCATTTAGAGGGGTGAGTCACTGAGGTCATGGTGGTGTAGAGGCTGGCTACAGTACTCACACCATCAATGTGCATTTAGAGGGGTGAGTCACTGAGGTCATGGTGGTGTAGAGGCTGGCCACAGTACTCACACCTTGATTGGGTTGCATTTAGAAAGGTTAGTCACTGAGGTCATGTTGGTGTAGAGGCTGTTTACAGTACTCACACCATCGTTGGGTTGCATTCAGAAGGGTGACGTTGTGTGCATGTCACTGAGGCTTTGGTGGTGTAGGGGTTATGTGCATTATTCTCACCATGGCTAGCTTACATTCAGAAGACAAGGTTTTGTAACCCTACATGTTCTTGAGTTCATGGTGGTGTAGGGGTTACGTGCACTACTTATTCTCCTGTTTGATGAAACATTGCATTCAGATATAGTTGAATTAACTTTGACTTCATTGCATTATAGACCTTTTTCCTGTGATGTCAAGATCGTGCTGGACCGCCATGTGTTGTGATGGTAATGAGTGGATAGTGTTGTGATGGTAATCTACCTAGTCAAGATAAACTACTCCAGCATGCAGCGTTCCTACATGCGCTTGTACGTGGTTGAAGCTGCCTGCAGGAATGTATGCAATCATTGTGGCCATGGCGGTCCACACGTGGTGTTTTTGTTTACATTTAGTACAATCCAGTCACGTGGATGGAAAAGGCCTGTACTTGTTCCATGCTCTTTTGGTCTTGCTGATTGGTCACTTTGATGAAGCAGTAGGAATTTGGGTGTTCTTTAATGTGGATTCTGTGTGGCATATTTGGTGCAGGTGCACTTGTAGATGTTTGGTTTCATTGTACATGTACGTGTAGATTGCTGCTAATTTGCATGAGATATTCTTTGGCTGTTATATTTTTCTTATGTTGTTCTTTTTTGCTGATTGCAGATTGTTGAGCCATTGTTTGGTAATTTTGAGTTTGTTCAAGTCAGACTTAGTGACACCTACCAACATCTTTCTGCAATGGCAAAAACAAATGTAGGACACAGTAAAGAACAGCTCCAACAAACACACAGCCAACTGCAAGAGACTTACTATGATATTAGAAGGCAAGTGTATATTTATACTAGAATACATTCCGGGCAGGAACTTCATTCTTGAAATGGCAAGGCAATTTCTCATTTGCAAAGGGCACTTGTATTCAAAAATCAACTTGTCTGTGGGGACATTTCAATGGGCATTGAGGTAAAGACCAGGGGCATCAAGGCGATTGCCTCTGATGCCTCCGTGAACTTCCTGCCCTCAACAATCTTGTTTGTAACATTGTCACCAACTTTCAGGCATACAAACTTTACAACCGACCCAGCATTTTTGTTAATTCTCTTCTCTAGAGGATTGCAACTAGATCAAGTTCTTGATCAGTGTGAAGAGCTCCTTGCAAGATTCTCCAGCTGTGATGAAGAGGATGTATTCACTGTCTTAGCTCAGAAACCAGTTTTTAAGGAAACAAAGGAGATGGTGGAAGGATGCCGTGATCAGCTGATTGCTGCAAAGAAAAAGATTGAAGATGATTGGCATAGCACGTCTAGCTGGATCATTCAAGCTATACAGCTCATTGAGTATAGAGAGGATGTCAATAAGGTATGTATCCTGATCAGTGCTTAAATAAATTGATAATGTCAGATTAATGTTGAGGGCAGATCATGAACCAAAATTTAAGGGCTGAATTTCTTTGTTTTTTTGGGGGGGGGCTAAATTTTTTTAAATGTAACCTTCAGTGGTCTTTTGGAGGGCTTAGGCTACCCTACCCTTTGGTACTTTTCATGCACTGGTTAACCGTGACAGTCCTCAATAGCTAATTTCAATATAATTTATACGATCACGAGGGAAACGAAAACAAAATTGATGCCCTCTCATTTTTTGCCAAATTATCTTAGGGGGTGGGCATAGTATTGTCTTTGTCCTTCCCATTGCACTCTCTCTTCTTTAAGTTATCGATGGCATAAACATTAAAACAATGACAGCAGACTACCTTCACAGTTTGCTGCCAACAGGTTGATAAATTGGCAGTCAATAAGCTGAACAACTTGATTGGAGAAGAGCATTCATTTTCCCTGCAGGAAACGGTGTAGTGAATCGTGAGTGATTAACAACATACAAGAGTGGATGCAAAGACATACAGACGCGTTTATTCTGTTCTGTTGGACTGTCTTTTTCAGTTACTGGATTGGTTGAAATCCAAGAAAGAAAGAGATCTCCAACATGTTGCTGATATCGCTGATAATCTGAGCCGTGCTGAGATGTTGTGTAATCACTTTGAGACAGGATTTCTCCTCAAGGCTGAGGTAGGCTTTTTAGTAGATTGTGACTTGCATTGTGTATGTAAGTGACTTGTGCAAGTAAACATGTGTAAATCTTTTGCATTGCTTTCACTTTGCCCATATCTGCATCTCCTCTGCTTGAATACTGTGATATGCATGTAGAAGTTTCATTTTTTTACAATGTCGGGTTGTCAAATATTAAGACAGTTAGTCTTCATATTCTCACATTGCATCCTCTCATAAATCAGAGATTAGTCAAGTAACCTCAAAGCAGAAGTACTGCAAAGGCCTGGAAACCCTTCACTCAAAGCTGAAAGGTGTGGTAATGATGCACCTGCTACTGTAGATATTGAATTGATTGGAAAATTTGAAGGACAGTGGTACACAAAGCAAAGATCCCTGTTTTACAGTCACATTGATCAAGTTACTGTTTTGTTTCTTCCAGGAGAAAATGTCCAGGGTCAGTGACCTAGTGCAGCAGGGGGAGGAAATGGCTATGAATAATGGCAATTCCAGCCGAGGGGAAATCATGACGCTCGCCAACACGTTGAAGCAACATTCAAAGGACTTCCAGAATGCTTTGCAGAAACACCAGCACATTCTACAGTCAGTCTATCGGTTTCATCAACTCTACAATGAGGTGAGTGCTGTGCTGTTGACACTTCATCTGTGGATTCTGTCTTTTGATTCTTGCCAACACCAATGGTTTTTTGAGAAAGGAACCTTTTTCCGTTTTCTTCATTTCTGCCAAAGCATACTTTCTTGTTTTATTTTCACCTGAATCAAGCTCATATTAAGGATTTTTTCATATTTGTTTTTTACTCCAGGCACGACGCTGGTACATCAGTTGCATCAAATTTCTGCCCCCTGACCTGTACGACCTCTACACTGACCTTAAATCACACTCACAAAGTCATGATTCCCAGGCATTACGTCTCCAGTGGGAGGAAGATGTTAGACGGTTTCTGCACAAACACCCCTTGATGGCAAAAGAAGAGTTGAAGCAAGTGAAGCTGATACCTGAGGACATTGGAGCCGCTTCACTAAAGAAGAAAGGACGACTACTGTCCTACAGGTAGATTTTTATTTCTGGTAATGACACCAAGGATTCCTCAAAAGTGCCCTAGGCGCTGTAGCTTGCAAGCCTGTGGAGAGGAGAAAGTGAGAAGCAGAGGTGGGAGGAAAACCCCAGGGGAATATTCTGGGTAAAACTTATGGAGTCAGGTAGGCACAGAAAACCCAATCCACATATAGGCCAAGCCAGGTTTTGAACCCGGACCACAGAGGTGAAAGGTAAGGAAAGAAGTACCATGCCAACCTGACTCCCCCACATTAAACAGATCGTGGTGTCACTAAACATGACGCATAATATCAAGCACTTTTATAAAAAATTACTTTGGGAATACCTCATTTTTCTTCAAGAAATAATACATGTATCTCTGGTCTCTTTTTTATTTCCTAAAGTACCATTTATGATTGGATAGCTCTGGCTTCATATCATTCACCTTGCATTCAACTCTCCTAGCACCTCCTTGAATTGCCTCCTGTTTTTTAATTCTACTTTTACAAGGACAAAGGGGCTCAGCCTCATTATACCACAAACTTCCCAATTATTCATAACTACAAAAAGTCACAGGTGTTATTGTTTCTCTTCTTCCACTGTGATGCAGGTGCCTCATTTTGACAAATTTACTAAGTCACAGACTGAAGATCTCTGCTTCAAACATCAGAGACATCCTGAAATGGCAGTCAGAAATTCGCAATCGATCAGATGATTCAGCATCCCATCAAAGTGAAAGACTGCCCTCTAGTGATCGAATGCATAAAGTATCGTCATCAAATAGTCTGGATTCATCAGATCAAACCAGACACGAGAAACCAGATAAAGGGAGACAGGGTAAAAGTCATTTGGCAAAGACAAAAGTTGAGAAAGAAGATTTCCATAACAGAGGTACACAAACCCCAGACAGGGTCAGAAGACACAACAAACAGAGAGACATATATCCCGATAACAGTAATTCTGTTGAAGATACAGATGACGATCCCTTGATTCAAAAGATAGGGCATCCAGGTTCATTCTATGACAAATACAGTAACAGACAGGGTCAAATAATGAGTGATGATGATGCTGCTGACGGTATTAGAAAAACCCAGGAGGATGTACAAAGAAACAAAAACATCTCAACGATGGCTGAGCGGGAAATAGCTCACGCACAGCAGGCATCGGTATCACAGCCAACTGTCCTTACAGAACAGACTGTGAGAGGTCACTCGCCATCAAGGCAGTCCTCTAGGGAATATAGCTCACAAAAGTATGGCATATATGGAGATTCTGATTTTGAAGATGATACTGCAGTGACCATACATCATAAGGGACATCCTCCTTTGCCACAAGGACTCTCAGAATACCTGTTGCCTGGCAACCAGATGCATCATCAAGATAATCACTTCATCTTGTCATCTTCAGATCCTTCCAATGTTGTTGGTGAGAATCAGATATCAAACTATGGGTTAATGCAGCCAGACCCAACCCAGACCACGAGATATCCTCCCCAACTTGGTGCATATGACGCACATTCACAGCATACAGCAGTTCCTAACGGCGCACCTGCTATCCTCAACACCAATCAAAGCTCCTCCTTAGACTTGCATTCGCAACCAGAGAATCGCACTTCACCTTACCAGCTGCGTCCTACCTCGTCATCGCAAAGGTCTTTGCCACAACGACCTCCAATGAGCTTCCATGGTAGCTTGATGAATATTCATCAATTACATGTGGACAATGATTTCTCTGCAACGGGTGAACCACATGCTAGGCACAATGAAGTACTGAACAGTTCTCCACTTACAAAGCATAGAAGTTTGATCAACCTGAGTCAATCCCCAATTATGGATCAAACACATAGTGGAATTATTCAGAACAACTCAATTCAGACATCACCTGTAAGATCAAATCACAAAGTGTATTCATCTCCAAGCAGTGGGGGTAATGCCTCCATGCAGGATAGCAGAATATACCTCGCAGAAGATGGCTCTGTAAATCCATACTGGTCTGTACGGCCATTGCTGCAACATGGAATGTCAGAACCAAATGTTAATACTCCATTTCATGATGATGTGGCCTCTCCATACAGTCAGGTTCTAACTAACTTAATGACTGTACGCCAAGTAACAAGTGCCAGACCATTCAGGTCAAGAAAACGGCCAAATTTAGCTCACTCCAAGTCAAAGAAAATAAATACTCTGGATTCTCATTCTGTATCTCGTAGTGAAATGGATCTACAGTCTGTGCCACGGAACCATTCACTTCCAAATGGTCTGTCCGTCTCAGAACAAGCATTGCATCACGATGAACCTAGCCATGAACAAAGCTCACCACCAAATATCACGGCATCAGCTTATCCTAGCGTTGTTGGATCTGACCCCCAGGTTGAGTATTATAAGAAATTGTATTCCTCATCTACACCACAGTTAAACCATTCTACCTCTGCATCAGGACACAAAAAAAGAGAGTACACTTTGGATCCTTCCGGTCATACATGGATGCACGATATCCCAGTAACTCAGACGAGACGTTCACCACAACTCTCTGCTCGGATACCATCATCTCTTCCTCTGTCTCCTCTTGCTCTTCTTGAGTTAGAGGTTGCCAAGGAAACCATGGATGCTAAGGATGCTAAAATAGAGGATGAATATAATGAGGAGCAGAAGAGAAGGCAAGGTGTGATTGACAGCATTGTTAACCAATCAAAATCAAGTATCATATCACATGATGAGAGAGCTTCCCTTGACCGAATCCAGTCAAAGGGTCATAAAGGTCGTAGTTTGGAAAAGAGGAAAAAACATGCAAATGCACTGAGTCCCCCAAGAAATGTGGATGAAAAACTGAGAAATTCCTCCCCTAATGTATTCATTTCTAGAGAGGGGCAGTACTTGTCACTTCACCAGAATGGACAGTCATCTTCCTTTCAGCCTCAAGAAGTCGGCATGAAGTTGGAGAATGGCTGGAAGAGGCATTTCAGAGATTCATTTGTGTCTCCAGTGGTAGCTTACCATTCCACACCAGTGTCAGTCCACAGACCAAGTGCTAAGCATCAGTTTAGCCTGTCTACAACACTCCCCCAAGATCAACAAATTCAAGCTCTTCTCACCTCAAATGAACGTGATTACAGACAGCGCGAACAGTTAGTTGGCAATGCCCAGAGGCATACTGTATACAAAGTAGGTGAAAGCCCTGGCATATCAACTGCTGTGTATCCGAGGGACCAGGTTAGAAGACGACAAGCAGAGATGAATTGGAGACAGGAACATCTGAGGGAGTTAGACTTATCACCTAAGACTCAACCTCATCTTCTTGGTCCTCATTTGAGGGATGAAACCTCATCAGAACCTCTTTCTGACTGGAGGGAGCAACATTTACAAGATCTTGGGATAACACCAAGCATGCCGCAGTCTAACTTGAGATACAATCCAACCAGCAGAAATCCTTCAAGTATTTCTGCCTCAGAGGATTATGACTGGAGAAATCAGCATCTGATAGACCTGGGAATATCCCCAAACATGCATCAATTTACAGGAAATCAAGTTCCAACTCAGGCAGAGACGTCTGTCGGTTTTTTAATTGAAGGAACTAAAAATGACTGGAGGAAGCAACATCTGTTGGAACTTGGTTTATCCCCCAACATGCATCTCTCTAGACAAAAGCAACGTTCGGTCATTGAGAGAGAGAGTACTAGGAACCTGGAGTCAAACTCTGCCTTGGGTCTGAACAAGCCAGTAGAACCGATAGCGTGTCAGAGAGCTGTGACAAGGTCTGTTGACCTTAGAGATAGTGTACAAAATATTGCTCCGATGACCGGCAGATCACAAGGTGTTAATGAGAGCGGGCGGAGTTTGGATGATATGGACGAGATCCACCAACTTACGGATGAAACAGCCAAAAAGAGGTAAGTGTGCTGATCACATTTGCTTACTATTCTCCATGATGTTTCTGCAAAGTCGGGAGTCTTGGGTTCGAATCCCTCCCTAGCCAGCTTGTGATTTTTTTCGAACACTTGAACCACACTGAGAATACTGTGTGAATATATCTGCATGAACACTATTGTAAGGACAGATGCTTATATAAACCTAACATGCCTATGCAGAGTCAAATATCATTGGGTCATAGTTGAAAGAAGTATTGCACCATCAACAACCCAAAACTGTTTTCATTGTGTTGAGTCCATCCTTAATCTTGTCAATGCCATCAAGAAAGGATTTTACAGTGACAATGTTAACCGTAACCTTACATAATACTGAAAATTTCTGCTTAGTAGTAAAATGTAGCGTACAGCGCTGCTGCTTGTAAGAGGACATGACCTTATTGTTCTCTGAACCCACAAAATACAAAAGATAAGACAATGTACATGTACCATACAGTGCTGTGGCACTATGACTGATGATGATGCTGTTTTCTGTACGAGTAACAATGGAGGGTGCCCTAGCCCGAAGTAGTAATTTGTAGAGCTAGGTCCTTCACGCACAGACTACTGCTCAGTATTTTGTACATGTAGTACTGAGTACTGTAAGCCAAATAATATGCTTGGGTAAGGGTTAATAAGAGGACCTGTGATAACAGGAACCTTGCACGTATGTGTGTATTATTAGAGATAAAAACAATGAAAGGTAAGATTTGGGACCTAAAATTTCCTTGTTATAAGCAGAATCTTTATTAACCATGTTAACAGTGCTTTTATTAAGAGGTTTGACTGTATAGGACTTCAAAGGGATCCTATGAAGACTGTATGAAAATAACGTTAGTTCTCTCTGAAGATGCACTCAGTACCGGGGGGGGGTAGATGCAAATGATTTGCTTTTGAAGTTACCAAACCCTTCCTTCTGTTTATTGTCCAGTTTTAGATTTGCACACCTATCTGATGAGACCATCTTAGATGCTGAAGAGAAAGTGCAAGAGGAGTTAGCTCAGAAGCTTCACCTGCTTGAACTTAAACTGAAGGTATGACAGTTTCTTCTGTAGCAAAATTGTACCACAAGTGTCCAATGACTTGGTTTGGTAGCATTGGAAATTAAATTGGAACTGCATGCATGCTGTTTTCTGTACGAGTAACAATGGAGGGTGCCCTAGCCCGAAGTAGTAATTTGTAGAGCTAGGTCCTTCACGCACAGACTTCTCGTTGAGTTTTGTTTCACGTTAGATTCCATTTGTCTATTTCTTTTACAATCATGCATGTTCAGTAGGGGTGAGATTTGTCCGATTTTGTCTAGATTTTCCCGTTATTTTGTGTGAAATGTGTTCAAGTTATAGGGATTTCTTTTTTGCATGGATTTGCTGAAAAGGAGATTTTATCATCATACCAATTCTGCAAGAAAGTGAATGCAGCACTTGCGGAAATTTAAGTTTAGAGCATGTTTCTTTGAGTTGTTACTCCTGCTATAATGCAATGGAATGCTGATGAATAGTGGTGTACACATGTATGTGTGAAACTGTAAGGACTTCGCATAACTCTTAGCTGTATGCACAGGCCATGCCCTTAGGTACTATCCGTATATATATTAGGGCGAATATTTTAACAAAGCTGTTGATTGGTAAAACAAAAACATTTTGGCATTTAGCCAATCAGTTTCATTTATTGAAACGTTCTCAGCTCCTAAGGGAATCTGCATCCTTTTGTATTCAGGTGACCACTGCTTCATTAATAGAGTACTTAAGTGTGACGTCACAGTGAATAAGAAAACGAATGGATTATGCGTGCGTGTTGGTTCACGTGCTGGTTCACGTGTTGGTTCTCGTGCTAATGCCCTTTACACACTTACATGTATTGTGTGTGTGGCGTATTCACTTTGGTACTCCATACTGCTGCTGTTTTAACCAAGTGAGAAAGTTGTGTTGAATGCTTGTTCTGCCCCACTTAATTTTTCTTTATTGGATTCTAAGAATTTAATGCAGAGTTTCACAAAAAAGAATGAAAGTGCATTTGAAATTTATGTAATCGCATTTGTGTCATAAACTGTTTCTCTTGAAATACAGGTGCACTGCATCCTCTGGAGGTAGGCAAGGAAGAATAACTCCAGATGAACTATAGTACATGGCTCATTAAAGCCGTTTGGTTTTGTTTTTCCATTACAGGCGGAAGAGACGTCACTGATGTACAGCGACTTACTTGATACAGAAAAGGCAGGTCTGAACCTTGAACTGAGAGATTTAGATCAAGAAGAAGCAGCATTACAGAGAGACACAAACCATCAAGGGATTTCTCATCTGATACAGCTTAATGGTGATGTCAGACCCACACATCTGATTGGTCAGCGCAATCAGCAGGTAGCTAAATCTCCTCAACCGACACCGTCTGAGGAAAATGTCCTCTCACAGCGCTTTAAGAGGAGTCAACCTGTGCATGCCAGTCAGCACCCTGGTCAACCAGGAAAGATCCAGGGTGATCAGTACACTGCAGTTAATAAGGACCAGTCCAGTCATCCACGTCTGCTACAGGGTGCTGTTCAGCCATCAGTTACTTGGACAACTCAATGTCAGGAAGCGAATCAGCATCGTGGCTACCACGCAACACTCAGCAATGCTGATTCTGCTAAGCAGGTGAAAGCTCAGTTATTGTTTAATGATAATGACGAAGGAGCTAAAAATGGAGCAAAGAAGCTGCCTCAAGAAAGTGTTGGTTCAAGAGATGTGCTTCAAAAGATAGGTTCTGGCACAGTTAAAATCATGGAGAAGTCTTTGTACAAAGTTAACCCTAACCAATCTGATATAATTGAGTACAAATCTTATAATGGTACCAGTGATGTAAATAAAGTCAAGGATAAGGCTAATGGAGATATTCATGTTGCAAATACCCAAGATGTACTTGATGATCAGCATCATACAGTCAGTGCACAGGTGCAGGACCATTCAGTGGCTGGAGCTGATGCTAAGCAAATTGATTTAGTCAACCATCATGGCAACATTGATGCACAGAAATCTGCTGATTCTGGGAGACGTATTGTCAACTCTGTCTCTGGTTATGGAGAAGGTCAGGAGCTGGTTGACAAACCAGCTAAAGATGACTCCTCCATGCTGGTATTACCCGACAACAGATATAATGGTGGGAGTAGAGAACCGACTAGAAAGGAACCCAACGGGGTCATGAAGGAAGAGAAAAATGAATCTGATAAGTCAGTCACTAATGCAACAAAGAGACATCAGGCTCTTGTAAATTCTAGAGATGTGGAGATAAAAGAGCTTGTTGACAATGAAAGAATGCTGGAGGCAGACAGAGTTGTTCCAAGGGAAGATTTGAAACAAACTTTGTCCGAGAGAGATCATACTGCAGCTGACTACATAGCCTGTGCATTAGGGATGGACTTTGTGAATGACAAGGCCAGTTTGACTGTCCAGCCATACAGCAACTCAAGTAAGTCTATCACACAGCAGCTTGATGAGCAGAGGCTTGAATTGAATAATCAGAACACTCCTCGTGTTAATTTGCCAAAGTCGCAAGGTAGCTTAGATGAAGGTCCTTGCTCTCCAATACGGCAGTGGTTGAAGGAAAAGGAAAGTTTAGAAATAGAAAGTGGACAGTCAGGTTATTCTGAGCAAAATTTGACCGGTAGAGTTGAGGATGAAAAGATATCAAACGTTGATTTTGCTCATTCTGCTGTTGAATCACCAATAAATGCAAGCCATGCCCAAAGTCCAACAATGAGAGCACAGAGTACTTCACCCATTAGACAGTGGCTAAGGGAACAAGAAGAGAAAGAAGCTCGCTTGAAACAAGACAGTTCAATGATTGATTTGGGGAAAGGCTCTGATGTGAGGCCTGTGGGTTCATCAGGTGACTTAGAGAGCTCTAGGGATTTGAAACAGAGTCCTGATTCCACTAGACGACGGACTAATTCATTAATTCCAATACCCGTTGATTCTAAAAGAATTCCCGGTGCTCTGAAGCACGCTCCATCAGAAACAAGACAGAAGTCTAGTTCATCTATCCCTGTGTACAAAGGTCTCTCTAAATCTTCACCGAAAGAACCCTCTCCTTCCCTCAATCTGGAAGTCGCTGAAAAAGCACCTGAACATACGCTTGAAACTTTGGCATCACCTGGTATTAGATCAAGGAAATCTAACCCATATTCCAAAATACCAGTGAAGAAGGTTTATACAGCTTTAAAAGAGGGGGGATACCTGGAGGAAAAACACCACCAACAGAAGTCACAGCAATTACCTGCTTCAGAAAAGCAAAAGACTCACTCTAAAGTTCAACACTCTGACGATCCAAATAGTGAACGAAGCGGGCCTGTTCTTCAAAGGCAAGGAACTTTTACGAAAGAACCCAGACCAACTTTAACCAGAGAAGGAACATTTACTATTGATACAGAACAGGGCAGACAAGAAAGTCAAGATGCTATCATTCAAAGGAAAGCTACCGAAGAGAAGAATGCTCATCACTCTAGCGGTATTTTCTCCCCGTTAGCATTGGTCTTGGATCACATGGTGAAAAAGGGGAATACATCCACACCTGTCGGGAAGCAAGAAAAACAAGATTGGAAAAAACATCCAGACTCAACCGAGGAAACATTTGAAAACAGCTCCACAGAAAGTTCTATGAGCCCCACGACAAAGTCGACCGTAGTCGTAAGTAAAAATCCAACAACAAACCTGCACAACACTAAAAACTATTATATTAGTGTACAAAATAACGACACAAATAATAAAGGTGAAATTACAGCGCCAGGGGTCTTAGGTCAGAGAGTTTACAATGGCAGTTATAATGGACTGACTGAAAGCGATAGGAAGGAACAAGATGACCTAGATGACAGTGAGTTAGAAAAGATGATGACAACAAAAAGTCAGTTGGCTGAGATCAGGAATTTGGAAATTGAAAATCGTCACTTAGCCTACGAAAGGAAGGAGATTGAAGCACATTTGATTAAAAATATCAAACAACAAGCACATGTATCTGATGAAGGGTAAGACTTGATCAGCACCAGTTTTAGTATTTAAATCATGATCATTGTCAGAATGATTCCAAAGGCTTTTACAATCAAGGTTTCCATGCTAACTTGCAATCACTGAAGTAATTTCAGAATTTTGTTGTCCTATGTAATATGAACTGTTTTCCAACCCTTTTGCATACTCTGCTTCACAAAGTTTACTGTGGATAATTCAAATGCCCATGCACACTCATATTGAATATTTTGGCATGTGTCCATGTTTGCCTTATTTCTTTTGTATCCTTCTGTTTTGACCATTCTGTAAGTTTGGTGTTGAATTTATTGCACGTTATCTGAGATGATTTTGTAAGTTTTGAATGCGTCTCTTAATTTGCCAGAGTGATCAAGTAATGAAAATTACCTGCCAAACATATACAAAAAAGTCTTTATTAAAATTCAGTGATATTTCTGTGTCAAATTACAGGTTATTTTGTGTAACAAGAACAAGAATACTGGTACAACACTTTTAGATCCCTTCTTTGCAACGTATCCTATGTGTATGTGTCCTTCATAATCCATTACCCAACCTTGCTGAAGGACTCCCTTTATGGCCTCTCCTACCAAGTACATGTACATGTAGATCATGATGACTGAGACCAGCCAAGCATATTTTTTGTTTAGAACATATCAGCTAAAAGATAAACATGTGGGGATATTTCTTGGGCATTGTAAATAAAGTACATTTTTGTACAATACGTCAAAAGTACATTTTATGCATGAATATTTGCATGTTCTTTCAGATGTATCAAAGGCATGTACATGTAGATACCAGGCACTGCGGACATTGATTTAATTTGACCTGGTTTTTTAGTACTCCTTGGGTGTGTAAAATAGTCGATTTGTTGTAGATTTGTTTTTTGTATTTATTCAATGCATATATTTTATCAGGTGTTGGGATTTGTTCTATTTGTTATTGTTTTTCAAGCATTACCCACTTTGCAATTTGCAGAACTTTGCTGTATATTAATGTATAATACATTGTATTTTGAGGGGCATTGTGTTAATGTATGTACCCATAAACATGGAATGCCGCTGTAAGTCACGCTCAAATGGTAATATGGTAATGAGTATGAACAGGAACAAGGGCAGATCCAGAATCAAATTTGGGGGTTGGGCCATTTTCGGGGAGGGTAAAACTTTGGGATTGTTTCTATATAATGTTGTTGGTCTTTCTGAGGAGTGAGGCTGAATTGTGGATTTTACACACAATTAGGAAAGAGGAGGAAGGAAATTGACCAACATATTGCCTTTATCTCATTGAAAAAGCTCCTTTGCCCCCCCTGCAACATGAAGTTTTCTGTAGGTCAACACAGGTAAATCAGATGGCTGTCTTGGGTTTGGAAGGCAGCCCTGCTTCCAGCTTCAAGCATTAAGGGGGCCACAGTATCAGGTAGGGGGCCAGATAACATAAACAAAATCTATTTTTTATGCTTATACTTTTTACTGATGGTGGGGGGAGCTTCCCGCCAGAGGGGACCTGGTCCCTTTGGCCCCTCCCCCCTTGGCAACAGGCCCATTGGAATGTGAGCAGACTGCCCAAGAAATGGGTATGTCAGATAGTGAAAAAATGTGAGTCAAGTGGTATGTTATTGTATTACATTATTGGTTACTTTTGTCTCATTGGTACAACATACCATTTTTTTGTACATAATTTATCTAGTGATTGGGGTTAAATGTTGTGATTGCAGTGGTTTATACCAACACTCAGAACTAATGTTTGATCATAATATCAAAAGCAGTACACTGACATCATGTCCTCAGTTTAAATGTTTTGGGCTCTGTTATATTATTATAACATTAGTAAACACTTTCTTTGAAAAGTGCTCAATTTGTTTTGTTTTAACTGATGTAAGTTAAGAAATATCCAGTTAATAGGTTAATGCCAAGGTGTGCCTCTTGCCCATGTTTTCAAGTTAATTATTTACTTTTGACTAAAAGTGAGGAGTGACCAAAGTTCCAGTTCAGTCATAATCATTTGAGCCATGCTTCCCCTGCTTATCTGTGCATTTGAGTGCATTTCTGATCAACTTTCAAATGTACTTTAGAACCTAAAATTAAACTAGATAAAACACAGAACTTTTTCTGTTTTCCCCACATAATAATTTTGTTTATCCCTGTGTTAATCAGATTAATAAACCCATTTCTTTATTTGACATCTCAGAAATAGTTTCAACAAATTTTTATTCTGGAATAGAGTGGAACACAGCGGAAGCTTTGCAGTGTTACGTTTCTTTCCTAATTTGTCAAGGCAGTCAGATGTACATGTTTGAAACAGCTAAGTGCCTTGTTCCTTGTAGAGTGCCGCAGAGACAACTCCAAAACAAAAGGTAGAGGGGGGAGGAAACAGGGCCATGGTCTTCCAAAAACAAGCCCAATGTTTTCTTTCTTGAAAAATGACAGAAAAGCACATTTTTGTGTCTATTTGCTTTCCCTTTCTTTAAAAACATGCAAAAACCAAAATGAAGTCTCACGGCTCAGAGAGATCATTAAAAGTAAAATGAAAACATTTCTAATTCCACCCCCTAAAAAAACTTTGGTTCTTGATCTGCTTTTGCTCTAGAGGAAATAGTTTGTACTCAAATCATTTCATAAAACATGAGAAAGTCATTTATTACCTCTTGAAAACTATTTTATTGCATTTCTAACTTGCATGAATTCAAATTAATCTTTAAATTTCATTCAAAACAATTGTTTAACCACTGAGAGAATTTGAACAATACTTAATTTCATTCTCATTTATTAAATCTCTACTCATTTGTGACACTTTAAAAAGAGAATGAATATGGTGATTCAGAGTCAAATGATGTACAATGCAATGAATTTCATAACATTTGCAGCTAGAGTTAGACATTTAAGGCAATCAAACGTGGCAAAAGGATAGTGGCATCGGATCTTCGTCAACCCCAAGCTGAATTTTCTGAACTTATATTTTTATCAATATCTGATCCCATTGTTATAATTCTCAAGAGATTGTCAGTGAATGTAGATGGGACGACCAACTCTCTTGACAGTTGGAGCAATAACTGTCTTGGCATCAGCAGAAATGTTGAGTTGAAATGGGTATGGCTTATCTGAGGCAAATAAGACAACAATTAAAACAGGTTTATGAGTGGAGAGAAAACATGCAAATACATGTAGTTACAGTTTTCATATGAAACAAAACAAATGAAAACTCAGATTATTACATGTAAAACAACACCACTGAAGAAAATTCATCGTTTGAAATAATGTAATCAAGAAAGAACGTTGGAGTCTTTTGTTTTTGGTTCCATGGTCCAACTAGCATCATTGAAAGCTCTTCAACTAGAGAATCAGTCAGTTCATTTTCATTACAATTTACGTTGTTACACCAAGACTGCACACCACAAACCTGTACAGACTTCAAATCAAAGAATACACCTAATTCTCTACACAGGCACTAGAGTCCTAGCTTTGTTAGTACGTTTAGGTAGCAGACTAAACCTAGCACAGGAGCGACGTGTGTGGAGGGAGATCGTGGCCGAATAGGAATGATGAAATGATAGCTAGCATTATTGATTTATTCAGCTTTTGCTCCAAGATTTGCCCCACCAACCATTTTCTTATGTCCTGATTGGCAAGATTAAAGAGCATTCATTCCTCTGCATACACTAAAAGTTGCTGTGATCTCACCTGTGCCCTTTCCACCATACTTGCCGTTAGTATTGCTTGGTATGGATGGTGAAGATCGATGGATATGAGGAATCTTAGACAACATGGCAATCTCAGTAGGGGATGGATTATTGACAGACAGCTCCACATCACAGGACTCCAGTAGTTGTTGATTTAATTGCCAGTTGATCATCTGTCACAGTGGGGATAAGAATGACACTTTTCTGATTATGTATATAGATCTGAGTATATGTATATTTTTGGATAACAGTAAGTTTTGGAATTATTGTAGAGTTTGGAGGTTTCACAAAATGTAATGAAGGCCTTCCAGTTTAATTTTGTCAATAATGAACATAGATTATTTTCAATCATTGATACTTCCACTGACAGGTTGTATCCACATGTACACACATTCAAACAGACACATTGTTTGTGAGGGGTAGGCTGTATTCATGTCAACTTAACAAAAGGGATGATGTTCCAGTGTCCCGTCTGAAAAGTAGGGGCTGTTACAGCATCCACAGTACAGCTGATTTTCCTATGTTGAACATTTGTCATTACTGCAAGAGAACAGCAAATGCACAGGACTACCTAGCTAATGCCCTACATCAGAGCATGCCAGGATTACCTAGCTAATGTCCTACATCAGAGCATGCCAGGACTACCTAGTTAATGCCCTACATCAGAGCATGCCTTATTTGCTTTTCAGTTTGAATATTGCAAAATTATCAAAGCTAACTTTGAAATTATCTGGGTCAGTTTAATTTATTTCGATAAAACTTAAGGAAGTTACAAAGTGTTGTCCTACACTTTTGTAACTTGCCTGGATTAAAATCTTAAAGAATAAGTGAAATATTAATTTTGAGATACAGTACACTGAGACAAAACTACATAGATGCCTTGTTTTTGAAGATATCCCTCAAAAGATGCAAACTCACCGATGACTTGAGTTGGTCTGGATCAGAACAAGTTGGTGTGGTTGATGGAACTGATTTACCACTCATCACTGCTTTGCCTTTCATACAGGTTGCTAACCTTTGTTGTGGGATAGTTACTCCAGTAATGAAGGAGCATCGTCCTAGACTTTTTTGCCGAATCTTGCTGTACGTGTACACTTCTCTGTCAGGGAAAGAATACAGATTGGTACACTCTTACTGGAAAACGGAGCAAATTAAAGCAATAATTAGTTCATACAGTAGAATGAAGACAGACTTCCCATATTAAATTCAGTCATAAATGATTATAGGCTTATCTTGATGGTGTGATATTTTAAAAGCTTACTGAAAGCCAAAGTAAATTGTGACAGTTTTTATATTCCAATCAAACAACCTCTGTGGCTCTTAATTTCCTGTTTTAGCAAAGATCTTGACTCCTCTTTAAATATTATGCTTTTAAAACTGTTTTTGAAGTTATTTTCTTTTGCAGAATAAATTTTCTGGGGAATAAAATCTTTTCTGGGGCAGGGGAAAAACTTTGGAAATGTTGTTTTGTGACCTATAACATGTTTGGCCTTTCATAGGATTGAGGATACATTTGAGTGCCCTTTGCACATATTTAGAAGGAAAACCAACAAAAACTGCCTTTAATTCTGTTATTAATAAGAAAAGGCCAAGGTCTTTTTCTTTGGGGCATGGTTCCTGTTTCAACCCACCCCCCCCATTGATCTGCCCTTGACAAGAACACTGACGAAATTAAATGTACTGTACCTATATTGATCTGAGTACTGTCTTGAGTGTTTGAGATACTTAAAGCTGTATTCTATTGGTATCGGAGGAGGAGGTTCCTGCCATCCTCCCAACTCTTCTCTGCGACTGTTACTACTTGGACGTGATGACACACTACTTGGTCTCTGATGACTGTTTGATCGGGAACTTTGACTTGTCTTCAGTTTAGATGGTGTTGTGGATGCTCGTGAGCATAGTTTACCAGTGGCGCTGTTGACATTACGACTAAATTGGCTGAATTTTTTAATTCTGGGTTTCAGCCGGCTTGCATCAACGATGCCGTAATTGACAGTATCTGCATGAATAGTCGGGCATAACTGCCATCTGCAGAAATCCTGCGCAACCGATGTAAGAAAGAACACAAAAAGAAAACTATCAATTCATTCAAATTTGAACCAGCATATATTTATTGAAGTTGTAGCTGGTTCCTCAGTTTATGACAATTAGCTTCACTTTTCTCCAAATAAACAAAATTGTGGCATGGTTTATACATTTATACATACATATGAACAAATATTGGAGTTGTAAAAAATTACGATAACATTTTGTCACAATCCTCAAATTCTACCTAGAAATCAACAACTCTTTTCATTTATATGACCAGTTTGGATCATTCCAAAACTGCATTGTCAGTTACTTACGAGAGCAACATTTTCATTTCTATCATTCAGTCGAAGCAGTTCATAGATTTTAGCTGATGTCAGCACAGTTTTCGGTTCTTGTTCCATTTCTGAGTTCTCAGATGTTTCATTTGAAGTTCCTTTTTCTTCTAGATAAGACTTGTCTCTATTGAATGGACATCAAAGAATGAAATTGAAATCAAATAGGTTATGTGAAATAAGGGTGCTCTAATTACATCTGCAAAGAATAAAAGTCGGCTGAGATAATAAACAGTTCTTTTGTTTTGTTAACTCAATTTTGCTGGATGGTTTAAGTTTGTGACACAAATCTGAAATGAATGGAGATGTCCTACCTTGTCTTTTTACAAGAAGCCGCTGCTAGGCAACCAGGGTCTCCTCGCTCTTTCGGATATTCTGCACTAAGAGACAGTAGTTTTTTAGTTGCGGCAACTTCGTAGTCATTCTTTTTGTAGCATGGTAGGTAGTCGTCTAGATCACCCATATTTTCGACTATCTTACTTCAGCCTCCGTGCCAGCGATTGGTTCTTCTACAGGCCTACTTTGTACTGTTCATTGCTTCTCCAATAACAGCGCAGAACGCTTTTTCGCCTGACTTTATGACTCTGAGAATAGTCATCACTTTCCTGAAGAGCCTACAAAGAGAATACCAAAAGTGAGATATGATTCGGTCGATCCAAAGGGCTCCGAAGGCTTTGACCTTTCTCTGTGGGTTATAAAAGGTGCGAATGTCCCAAACTAATTTTTCACGTTAGACGATCGCACTTCAGGATTCGCTCACCGTCGCGTTGTTTGCTCGGGGTCGGCCGAGTTCACCAGCGTGAACGTGTTTTGTTTACATGTCGTCTGCTTTCCACACATTCCATCTGATAACTTTGCATCCTCATACGCATGCTCAAGCGCGCAAGGATTTTGATTGGCCAATCACCGCAATGGCTTTCTAATTCATATTTATATATGTAAACTTTCAGCAAGCGGAATTGTTAATTTCTGTATAATGAATATTAAGATTTTCAAAGCGAGGCTCTATAGTGCACGAATAAATACTGGGAGCTGTCGCGCAGCCTGGAAAGGAGTGATGTCGGACCGAGAAAGCACTGAGGACCAGTCTCAGGGGCAAGGTAAACAAAACATATCGTACATTTCAAAAATGCACAATGGTGTTGAGGTACCAAGCACCTATTTTGTGAAAAAATCTGGATAATTTGAGGTTAAACCGTCGAGTTGTGCGCTTTGACAGCACGGGCTGTCAGCTGATTACGTGCATTTAAACCAGCCTGCAGGGGTCATACAACATGGCCGCTTCACGGAAATTTGTACACAGTTTGGCCAATACTTAGAAGAAAATTCACGGTAACTGAGCTTTTGGCATCATTTCTGAATTGCATTTTCTGATAAAGAAAATATCCAAGAGCCATACAGGTGTGTGAAAATCAACATTTTTCAATGCATAAAATAATCCGAGCTTTTGTATGATGAACGTCAACATTGAGAATCCAGCAGCCATTCAGCAGCCCATCCGTGCATTTTGTGCACGGCACCGTAGACGTGCAGTAACCAACATTACATGTGTAGGCCCAGGCCATTTTTGGACGTGGAGGTCCTACATCTGCATGGATATAGGTCCTACATATATTTACAAATAAGGTACGTCGTGTACACAACAGGAATTCTCTTTGCACATGATCACAAAGGCAGGCATATCGTTGACAGTCAGACAATGTGTACACGTAGCCTGTGCCATGCATGCATGTGTGTATGTACAACGTAGGCCTGCATCATTTTGTACATGTATGATATAGGCCTATGTACATGATGTATGGAACCTTGAGTCCTGCACATTGTTGACATAGGCCTACATGTACATGACAAACATGCACATCCACATACACGTACATGTAGGCCTACGTGTACTGAACATACACACGCAGGGCCTACTATGCGCATCAAACCACCATGACACATCATGTACATCGCCTACATTGCAGCCACGTTTATGTGTAGGCCTACATTTACATGTGCTTGTTTGTAACCAGTCAGCCATGTATAAGGGTTCATTACCATTATAGCACCCTGTTCCTTAGCATAATAAGGAAACTAAGTCCACTTTCTCAAACTTACTAACATTTGAGCTTAAAGAACCATTACTCAATCCTGATAGGCCTAGTTTCGGTAATTTTGACAATATTTAAGCAAGAAATCTTCAAATTCCTAACCCGAGTTTGGCAAAGGACAACTGTTCATTCGAATCACACCATTTTCTTTTTCCTCTAGTTACCTGACTCAGGCCTTTGGGATTGATCAAAACAAACGTCCACTGTTCCAGGTCGTTCACAGCTCTTCTAGGTACTCTGCAGTTTTACCCCAAACCAAAAGCCCTGTTCTCTTTTCTTTCTGATATGGAAGAAGACATCACCCACAACTTGTTTAGATAAGTTATTTCAAAGAAGTAGAATTTGTTCCCTCAGGGAACAGGGTGCTAAAGGAAATGAACCCCATGTACATGTATCTAAATCCTACTCTTGCTTTGTTTACCCTGCAGTTTTCTCAAACATGATGTAGATTCCACTAATGATCATGGTATAGACTATAATCACCAGGTCCCCTACCAGTAGGCCCTATATTGTCCCAGCCTGTGTCCCTGCCTGTGAAAACCAATCAGACTTGATAGAAGGTGGCAGACTTAGACACATTGGGGACCTGGCGACTATGGCATTGAGACATTGCAGTCATACACAAGTTTAGTATTAATTTGGCAGTGCATAGGGAATTTAACTTAGTCCTACCAGTGTGGCCTGAGTGTTGTGATAAAATCATGATCTTCTCGGATGGGGTTTGAACCCACAACTTCCAGCTTAGTAGTGCAGATGTTTTAACCATGTGACCACTGATTTGCAGGGATCAGGTAATTGGTTCAAATCCATTATGACAGTGAGAATTGAAAGCGTTTAACTTGTTGGTGGGGAGTGTTCATTTTGTTGGTAAAGAACAACCATAATGGGTGAATTTCATAGTCGTTTGTGAACCAGCGAAGTTGTTCCCACCACATGAGCCTCTGTTGCTTGGAAAACTGCACCCCCTCGTGGTCCAACTCGGTCCTGTGGTTGGTCTATTATAACACCTGCCAGAAAATTGCTTTGCACGTACATGTAGCTTGGTGAAGTTTGAATTTTTTGGGACTTTGTGGTCAAGGATAGCTTCATTTGTTGCACCAAACATGCCGAACTGATAGTGCCTGGAACTATGCCTGCAGTGTATACATACACGTACGTGTACATACATGTAGATGTTGGGTGCGATTGGTTACACATGTACATGTACGTGTACATGTATGTACATGTATGTGATTGCTTGATCTCTGTATGATCAGTTGATGTTATTACACAGTTGTCGAAAGTTCCATCATCAGCATGATCAGCCAATTGTGTCTTTCTACTTCACAGTTGTGATAGATTGTTCCAAAAATAGAAATACATTGTAAAGTAATGTGTAATTGTAATGAATTGTGTAGAGTGATCAGGGATTGTGCAGATTGGCCAAATATACTGCTTACAATTACATGTACATGTATAAATACCTGTATGTGGCTGTACATAGCATACATGTACATGTACCATAGGCATGATAGGACAAGTCTGAACTTGCTTTTACTCAGACTTGGTTTCTTACACCTCGGAACACTCATGTACCCATTAGTGCATGTGCCCTCTCACATCTTAGGAAGCTTACGGAATTATAATTTCTAACATAATTTCTTACAATAAACATTTTATACCTTAATTCAATACAGTATGTACATATTCCTGTCGTGCATGTTTATGTTCATGAGTTAAAATTGTTCATTGTACTGGTACCGGATACCTTCCTGACATAAATGTACATGTATTTAGTATGAAATGGTATACTTACATGTACATGTACATGTATAGTGCAGATTTCATGAAGTGCAAGGGGGTGTGGCTGGATGAGGCGAAGGTTTGTGGGATGGAGTGGAATTTGATAGAATATAATGGGATCGAGGATAAGAGTTTGTTGCTTTGGTTTGGGTGGGTATTTGTTAGTGTGGGATGGGGATGGTTGGGTTAAAGTTATACATGTATGTACATGTATATAATGTGGCATTTCACAGTAGTGCACCGCCAAGAGTTACGCGGTGACCAAAAATATACAATGCACAATTGAATGGGTTGACTCGTCTGGATGGGTCGTCCGGCAGTGCACATTTGGAAAGGGTTGACACAGTTCATGTATTATGATTGGCCAATGCTTTCCAAACTCTTGGTGGTGCACTGTTGTGAAATGCCTGTATTGCATTGCATATACATGTATGCATGTTACTCTGTTCATGTACACATACATGTACATACTTGTGCAGTACATTGTACATGTACACAGTGCATGTACATGTACATGTATGTAGATCTTTTCTTCTTAAGTTTAGAATTAAATGAGCATTCACTTCCGCAAGGGCCTAGTCCGACCCTTGGATGGAAATTTATATTCGGGACGGGGGGACTTGGTAGGGTAGGGGTTGTGGCTGGCGTTAGGTAGAATATACATGTAGATTTCATGATTTGATTGGGGATCTGGTAGGTTGGATTGGGGATTTGGTGGAATAAAATGGAAAGTACGTGTACATGTATGTGTACGATAGGACATCACGGATGAGGTGGGAATTTGTCAGTACTATGCAGTGAAGAATTGGTAGATGGGTGCAAAGCAATATGGTGGGGGTGAGTAGTGATCATGGTTTTAGGTAGCGATGGTTAAATGAAAGATACATGTACTTTCTAATGTTCAGAATTGTATTTTCTACATTTACATGTACCTTGGATTTTATCAAATAGTACAGGTTTATTCGATGCATTCACATCCCCGTACATTTAGCCATAAATTTTTGAAAAGGAAGAAAGGTCACAAAGTACATGTACATGTATACATGTACAGTGTACATGTACCTGTTGGTCACTCAAATACAGTGTATAATCCATACGGGTGTATACGTGTACACATGCATGTAGCTAAAGACAAAAACTTTATACAAAGTTTCATGGGTTTGTTGAAATGAATTGATTTCCACATGTATACAATGTACATTGTACATGCAGCAGTGAACCAGGGCAGCTTGCCGTTTTGATTTTCTTAATGTTTACAAAAAAGGTTATACAATATACACGTACATGTACATGTACTGCCGCTACATGTAGGTACTATATAACCGAATTCCCCCATCTTTATCATTTATTCCGTTGTGTTCTGCAGAGTACAAACACGTAATACACGCCATGAAGTAACAACAGTTATGTTGCCATGTCTCTATCTTGATGTTATGCAGTTGTTTTTCTGAGGGATAATTACGGGCAATTTACGTACACGTACGGAATTGTTGAACATTAGTGGTTAGCTGTTCCTGCGTTATCCTGTACACAGCAGGGTTGTGTGCTTTGCCTAGGTGCATACAGCGCTGGCTGATGTGATGTCTAATGGTTATTGCAACATTTGTACAGTTACAGTACATTGTACACGTACTGTATGTCGCTCTGTCAAGTAATTGTACTGAACCAATTCAACCAATGAAAAGGCCATATTTAAGACAAGTGTATGACCAGTTCCTACATTTGCCTGTATATTAAAAGCACACACAACAGTGTATACACGTACCATATATTGTAAAGGTCAGCATATTCATTTGTACATGTACATGTCAAACATTAAAGCATTATAAAAGTTTTCGACGTTTTTTCAATCTTCCTTTTTTATAATTTGATGTTGCAGGGGTCCAAGAACTGGCCACAAAGACTCTCAGTGTACAGACAAAGAGATACTACATCGATGTCAAGCAAAACAGGAGAGGAAAATTTATTAAAATTGCTGAGGTATTTGTACTTGAAATTATAGCGTCATATTGTCTCGTAACGTTTTATTTGTATTTGGAATCGAAAAATGAATACTGGAAAATTATGCTGTGGAGGTACATGTACATACAGGTGGGTGGCAGGTTCTTAGTACAACCAATGTACTTGTACTGTAGGTGAGAGTTTTAGGTTGTACAACCAATGTTGGGGGGAGGGTGATATTGTTCTCAATATTGCAATTCTCTCTCTGGAAAAATGTAATATTATAGAGAACATAATTCTTAGCATCTGTTCTGTCCAGAACCACCTCTTACAAGAAGAGATATGATAATGTCCTGCACAGACTCGTACATGGTTGTACTGACAAACTATTTGCATTGTGTGTATCCGCCTCAGGCAGAAGCACGCCCTCATTGGTTGAAAAGAGCCATGTTGGTTGTGTGTGTTTGTTGATAGTGATGTACATGTAACACATTCATTTCCTAGTTATGACCAAAGGAGCCTCTGTTGCCAAGAAACTAGTGCCCGCTCCTGGTCCAGCTGTACATCATTTACACTGTACAAAGCTTCAAATCTTACTCATAGGGTAAACTAATTTGAAAACGTTGAAAATGTACAGATTCTTAATGCTTCACTGGGTTTAGCTACATGTACAGGTATGTACATGTATGGGCTGTCAAAATGGGCATTGTGTAGAACGTGTATTTATTTGGTATGCTGTTGTACAGTGTTGTAATGAACATGTTTGTTAAGAGGCCGGAGTGAGGCTAAGACAGGGTGGACTTCAGGCCAGTTACTAATTGGTATGTGTGTGTAGTTTTCATTATTCAGTTATTTCGAACTCTGTAAAGCAATGTAACCAAAGGGGGGGGCACATAGGGGCATGCCCTTCTCACCCTCAATGCTGCGTGTGCCCTTTTGCTCCCCTTTCCCTTTCAAAAATAAATCCGCCCGTTCTTTAATGACCTTCCACTCCATGAGAACGAGGTATTCCTAATGTGCTCCCATCCAGAAAATATGGGCCTCCTAACGCCCCCCCCCCTTAAAATGTTACCCGGTTGCACTGTAGTTGCTGTTTTGTTTGAAATGTTGTCTTTGCGTTTTCCTCAGGTGGGGGCAAGTGGAGGAAAGAGCCGGCTAACATTGGCCATGTCTGCTGCAGCAGCATTACGTGATCACATGACAGAATTTAGTGAACATTATGCCCAACTTGGTCCACCCAACCCTGACAACCCACCAGAGGATGGCAGACTTAAGAGTGAAGTCATCATCAATGAAAACAAACGTTATTACCTTGATCTTAAAGAAAATAACAGGGGTAGATTTCTAAAGGTAAAGTTCTCATCATTGTACTGCTTTTATGGACGAAATGTGCTTTAGTAAAGTGACTTTAATTCCCCCCAACCCTACATGTACGTTATATTAAAAATTACTACTTAGTAGTAAAATGTAATATACAGCGCTGTTGCTTGTAAGAGGACATGACCTGACTGTTCTCTGAAGCCATAAAATGCAGCAGATAAGACAATGTACCATACAGTGCTGTGGCATTAAGCACGCACGACTTTATTGTTCTCGGAGGGTGCCCTAGCCAGAAGTAGTAATTTATAGCACTACATGTAGGTCCTTCAGGCTCAGACTACTATGTAGTACTTTCTAGTCTTGAGTCCTGTAACCCAAATGATGTGCATGACTGTTAGGATTATGATTTCAGTTGGTTTTCTTTCAGTCTTTCATCAGTCGTAATATAACTGTACACTGCCCTGGGTAAAATAATGAGTTATGAGTACACTAACTATTAAACAGACACTTCTACTTGTTTTGCAGGCTGGGATATGGTATACATATTATTTGATCAAGGGGGGATACGCGCAAGAGCACAGCTTATGGAAACTATATTGTGTTCGCTTTAAAACAAACTGCGTTGAAGTCAGTCTGTCTGAAACATGTACATGTGTACATGTAGTTTGTACATGTACATGGGCATTCATATACCAGTACTTGTAAACATATGAACCTTGTACATGTACATGTATGGAGCCACATTGCTTTTTGGGCAGCAGGGGTTGGCTTTTAAACACTCAATGTGCCATGCTTGAACAACGTTAACTTCCCAACCGGGAACTAAGGGAGAAGTGTAAGTGAATTCCAAGTGGTGCATTCCTAATGGAAACAACAGATTCTCACTGGGAGCACATTTCCTGATGGGGCATTCCAGTTGAAACAGGAATGTTCAAAGTTTTAAGACGTATCTCAACAAGAGGTGAAGTTGACAGTTCTTTGCTGCATAGCAGTAAGCTGGATCTTACAATTTGGAAAATTGCATCAAAATCCTTTGGTCCAGTCAAACCACAGTTTAACTGCATTTATATATATATATATTTGTTGGGAAAGCTTTCAAACTAAACTAAGACTTTGAAAATAATTAGGATTGTAATATTTTGATTTTATAATTACTGTAGGTTTCACAAACTGTCAACAGAGCGCGACGTACTCAGATAGCCCTCCCTGCACAAGGATTGGTAGAATTTAAAAATGCCCTAACAGAGCTCCTAGATGAATTTGGAACTGAAAATGGCACAGGTGAGTCAGTTTGGCTTATTACTTGGTCATTCTGTGTCAATTCAACACACATTTGAGCCTGTCCGTTGTGGATTGAAATGAAATTTCGGCATACTGATTGGATTCATTGAGAACCCTCAAACTGAAATTTTATGTCAATCTGTCTATTAGTTTTGAAATACGGGTAAACTTGTGCTTAATTTAATTAGCTCGACCTGCCTTGTTTGGACAGCCAAAGTAAAGCTTGTGAAATGGCCGTGACCAAACATAGGAAAACGCTGAGACTGCATGGAGTGTTGTACTTCAGACATTATAAGAATAAAACAATTTGAAAGAAAGATAGCCACGCAAATGTACACCACTGAATATATTTATTTTTTGTCAATAGAATGAAAATTAGTAGGTAGTAACATTTCACAAAAATCTCAGTAAAATGATGAGTTGTGACAGAGACATGGAAAATGACAAAAGTGCATCTTAGAGCAACGTAGTACTGCACATGTATTTGTGGGTATATATGTACATGTAATCATGATTGGACTACAAAACACAGGCTTTTTCATTAGCTGAAAATCCTGATTTTTTTAAGCCTTTGTCCATTCCCCTGAGGTTTGACTTAATGAGATTTTACTTCACACGGAAAGAATGCCTCCCTTCATGTGGATTTATTTGGTCATATGGCTGATTTTTTGTTTTGACTTTAATGCAACTGGATACATGTACATGTATGGTTGCAGCGTGTATGTGTGGGGTAGCTGTGAGTTTGTTTCTGCATTCAGTTGGGGACCTTGAACAATAGAGGACAATAAGGTCCCTGATAGACAGAGGGTCCCCGATTGACAACTGTGTACAAAACATATGGGTGGTCTTCTAAAAAAGATAAAGTACAAACAAAAGAGGAACAATAGGGGGTCCCCAGTTGCAGGCAAATACACACTTGTGTGTGTATGTGTGGGGTAGCAGCGTGTACATGTTGGGTGACAGTAATGGTATTGGTTGGCTTTTTGCATGTTGCTGATACATTTATAGTATTTATTTGTCTTGTCTTTTTCTAAATTTAGCTGATGTTCAACCTGAGTTACCAGAGAATCGCTTCATCAGAGTAGAAAATAAAAACTTCTATTTTGATATTGGCAACAACTATAGAGGCATCTTCATGCGTGTTAGTGAAGTACAGGTGAGCTAGCACAATCAGATAGGATTAACGTCAAATTATGCACTCTAAGTGCAACTCTTACTGGCATGACTGGGTACTCCTAAACTCCAATTAAAAGAGTCATGGCTAAGTTACCTGCAGCACATATGTGCAAGTGTTTATGTTGTTTACAACCAGCAAAATAAAATGCTTCTTTACTGATTGTGCATTAGTTTTTTGCATATGGCCTTTGTTGACATACAGTTTCAAGATACAGGTTCAATTAGCCTTACCAAAGCCGTTAAAAATGTCCAGTTTTCCATAGGTTTGTGCACAAATATGAATGCGCCCAGCAGGAATCAATTTGTACATTAGTCAGTGCTCTACTTTTGATATATAGCTCTGTGGTTATGACATTTCTTTAATATGTATTTATACATACATGTACATCTATAAAAACCATACCTTTGTAAGACAAGGACCAAGTTAGCATCTGTAGCTTCGCTATATCAGCCATGTACAAAATGAATTATTCTTGCCGAAAACTTGACTGTCAAAAAAGGTAAGATAAACAGGTGCTACAAGTACTGACTACATGTACCTCCCTCCGCTTTGCATTAGGAGGTCGTCAAGTTGACCTACACCTCGGAAACAGTAATTCCCACTACTTCCCCAAACCATACTGTATTTGTACATTCCTCATACTTGACTATTAGAGGCTTTCAGGTTATCTGCTCCAAGCAGGAACAAAAGAGGGTGTGTTTTGAAATTGGAAATTTTTATGTAAGTTTGACGTTTACAGTGTAGCACGCTGAGTACGTGCAACAAATTTGTCTGGAATGTATGATGTACATATATGAGCTTGCGTGCACACCAAATGTGTGCAAGAACCCGGTTAGAAAACTTAGCACCATCTGTTTGTTTTTCATCCGTGATGGTGCACTCCAGCTTGGGGCAGATTGTACATGATTGCCAGTGTGTTCAAGTATCCCTTTTTTATCCACTGAGATCGACTAATGATCTTTGGATGGTACCATTACCTTATAGCCACGTAACCAGTACCGTACATCCATCACTATTCCGGAGCGGTCATGGGCACGCTTCCGTGACATCTTCAGTGACTATGTGGATAAGATGAAGGAGTTACGAACAGCTCCAGTGGAAGAGGAGGAAGAAGAAGATCAAGATCGTGAGCAAAGAGAGGGTGATGGTGAAGGGGACAGAGATGAGGAGTAAACAGTTACTCAAGATCTTTGTATTCAGCCGTCGCAAGTACGTACACCTCAGTAAACATGGGGTGTCTACAGGGCTGCGCAGTACAGTTCATGGATCTGATGGGGTAAGTGCTGTCTCCAACTCTGAGGCAGTGAGATGTATACCTTGAGTTATTGGGAAGATAACTTGTTGGAAGCCATTGAAAGAGAGGAATCAAAGGCATAGGGGTTAGGAATGTATTGGATTGTAAAGTCTAGATCACCAGTTGAATTAATTGACTACATTGGGCTCTATTCTAGATAAAAGGAGTAAGGAAGGTACATATTAAAACTATCAGAATTATACATCCAGTTCAGTAATGCATCAAATACCCGGCGAGAATGCATTTTAAATGTTATACAAGATTTGATCAGAAATACATGTAATAAGGAACAAGGTAAGATAGCGTTAAGATGTCTCATGAAATAGGGGAAGGGTTGAGGGGAGGTAGGGTCTGACAAAGGCTTATGACCTAGACAGGTACTGAAGTAATTGTTTACTTAAATTGTGAGTGACTTGTGTCATTTTGTATCAGTAAGAACACAAGCGGCAAGAAAATTTGGTAAGCATTTTGATGTGTTCATGGTATTGTGTATAACATTTAAGGGTGTCCAAGCATTGTCATTAAAGGGTAGCATTACTGAGATGAAAATGGACATGGGAGAAGCATTCTAGGTGCCATAGTCGGGTCATTGGGAGTGCTTCATTGACTGGTTGACATGTATGAGTGACTGGTAGTTACCTTGTCAAACTGATTGCACTGTACTTTGTCTTTGTATACACCCTGCTGACACAATCAGCCAAAGTGAATACCAAATTGTACAAAACATGGATTCAAACTGTAAATTCTGAATATAGTTTGATTAAATACTTTTTGTACGAACTTTCAAGTATATGGATGTGAGATATTCTGTGGTTACTGGTGCTTTGTCTATCTCCAGTTCAAATATAACTATTTTGTTGTCAGCAGTTGCTTTATTTCAAAACCAGTTACTTTTCTGAAAATGGTAGCTTCCCTTTGTATGAATTGGAACATCACAGAAATCTCTGTCCAGCTGTGTCTTTGAAATTCACAAACATGGACAGGAAATCGTGGTATACACGTACATGTATTTTCACTGGATAAACTTCCATCTGACAGATGTGAAAAGCACCACCCTCCACGGTGCAATCCAATTTTAAGGTGGGGTGTTAAAAAATCAACCATTCAGGGTGGAACTTTGTTCTTGAAGAGGCTAGGCAATTTCTCAATTGCAAAGGGCCCTTTTATTAAAATATCAACTTGTCTAATTGGAAATTTCAATGGGCATTGAGGCAAAGACCAGGGGCATCTGGGCAATCAGCTGTGAAGCCTCCTTGCAGTGCGTACCCTGTCATATGCAGATTGACTGTTCAGGGGAAAACCAATCAAATAGTGAAGCGATGAAGATTTGACATGCCTTCAAAAGTATTGACATGAACAGGCTACACATTAACAACCCTGAGAAGGACATACATCATGAATCCCATGTAGAGATCCAGTTTTATCCGTGAGTTTCATATTTTGGATGCCATCGGACACATTGAAGAACTGCACCGTACGTGGTAATGCATATCTCTCTTTTGATTGGTGTCATGATTGACTGTAGAGCATTTCAAAAACATATCTGCCACACCCAGTCTCTGGTTCTAAATTGCCACTCTTGGTAAATTAATTGTTCAAAGAAAAGGACACATTAAACATGCCAGGGTTCTTACATAACCAGACTGCAAAAGTGTGAGGTGCACTAAGCATAAAATAAGGCTTCTAAATTTAACAACAGGTCTATTAAAGATACAGCTGGATAGAATTTTAGTCATGGTCAAGATATTTTGACTGTGACCCTTTAACCATCACTGGAATGTTCAGTCAGATGTCTTGATGAGTTGAATCCAGAGTTTTAGTTTGTTCCTTAACCTTCCAGCTTTATTTCTTACATTAAGCTTTTGGGATGAAGTTGAATTGACAGATACACGTATGGCCACTTGGTTCACTGTTATCAATGTGTGCTGCTTTCACATTTAAACCCCTCTTTGCTATAATTTGCAAGCCCAGAATACTCGCCTTCTAAATGGTCCAGGACCCAAAGTATGAACCTTTTAAGGAAATGAATAAGTTCATTTGTCATAGAGTGTCCATCCTAAGTCTTCTTTTGTTTTAATTTGAACTTGTACATTTCCAGTTTGAGCCTTCATTGCAGAAATTCTATCCTGGTAAAAGAAATCCCCCAGCTACTGTACCATATATATGCAGTAGTTACAGGATTCCTTTGTACATGTATGTATTCATGTGGTTTCAAAACTAACATAACATACATGTCCAATGTCTTATGCAGCTGTAGACTTTGTCATTCACTGTAAGTTGCCCGCTCTTAACTGTTCCCTGAATAGAATTCTGACAGTTATCAATGACTCACCGACCGTTTTTGGTCAAATCATTTTTAATGTTCAAAAAATGATCAAAAGCTTTTTCTAAACCCAGTGTTCAAGGATTTATTGTCAAAACACTCAACATCTATGCTGCTTGGTTTGAATTTTATTGTTGCAAAGGCTGTCTTGGCTTCAAGTTGATCTCACCGACATGCTGAAATAATCGGATTACATTTTGTAAAACAAACCTCAACTTGTTTGAAATAAATCTTTAAATCAAGATTCTGTTTTCATGACATCTTTCTCAAAGTACTTGTACATTCAGTAGGAGATGAATTTATCTGAACTGTGTAACATTGCAATAGATAAGTGCTAATATGGAGTAAAATTCCTATGTTTTCTGTGCTCATAAGTTTTTGAAGTCATAAATTGTTTCTTTGCAGTGGTCTTGGTATTTTCTGTAATGGGAGATGGATATCCCGTAGTCCCCCATACATGTACTTATATGAAGCTGTTTGGGATACAAACATCACTCATGAAATTTAAAGCAGCATTGGCCTTACATACTTCCTAGATTCCTTTGGAAAAGAAACAAAAACTGGACTTTATTTTCAAATTAAAACAATAAGAAAGCAGTTAGGTTGGACACTAGTGGATAGTTGGAGTATTTCTCGATATTAATGATGCTACAAAGTGTGAGGTTAAGCAGCCATGTATAATTTAAACTTACAAAAAAGAAAAATGCAGTAAAGTGTTTGGGGTTGGGGCAATGGCTGGAAGGATATATTGCATGGTTCCTATGTAGTCAAATAACACACCTTCAACTTTCCATTGAGAAAAACAAAGACTTTAACCTGTACTTTTTAGAAATAATTCATGTGTTTGTAGCAGAATGGTAAAATTCTGTGCCAGTCTCAGTGGCTGTAAGGAAATGTACAATGTAAAAGGAAAGAAAACTGAATTTGATGAGGAATACTTACCAAGGCTATGTATTCAACAAGTCTTATTGGCCCAGCCCCCATTTGCTATACTAGGAAGAGATGTTGGTAAAATGTGTATTGATTGGCTAGATGTACAAGTAACAGGACTAATTATTAGCAATCTCAAGATGGAATACATGTACTGTATGTTATACTGGAATGGGTTGTCCATGACAACATGAATGAATTACCTTGCTAGTCATGTCAACAAGACTTACTGACTGGCTGGCTGAGGCTGTGTCTTAATTGTTGTCTTGAGCTAGGTCTTTGCTCCATTGGAAAAGCATGTATTTTGGACAATAACGGCCATAGCTCTGGAAACCCTATTTGGACATGGCCTGAGATATGTTAATGATCTGACCTGCTACTTTGTAGTATACAGTATATGCACTGGTTGTTGTAAGTTTTCATTCCTTGACATTGTTTCTTGTGTATATAACCAACTTCGCTGGCTTTATATATCTGGCTAGAAGCTGTGTTTGGCCCATAGTAAATTAATTATGATATTTGAAAGGTGTAGTAAGGAGATTGAAAAATCACCTGTCCACAGAGTGCATGTATTCAACCAAGCTCCTGGTCTTCTTTATGTTTGATAGTGCTGGAAATGGAAACTTTGTCAACTAAAGCCTCCTAATTGCAAGTCTTGTCAACAGGTTAAGCATAAACACATTGAAAGTACTGTATTCCACCCTTCACATGGCTTCATTGTAGTTGTATATTTCCCAGATGATATAAAATTTGATGGAGGAAAATGCCCTTTATAAAAGGTCCAAGTGACATTTTGAGATCTGCATTTAGAATCTGGTAATCAATACTTACCTTTAGGCACTTTGAAAAATTTGTAGTAGTTGAATAAGCTTACTCCAAAGTGTACTTTGGAATATGTCCACAATTACCATAATTTCCACAGAAAAACAATCTGAAACTACCATAATTCTTCATGGAGGAAATAAAGAAAAGCAGGCCAAAGAGTTTGTTGGGCCAGAACTTTGTGGGCAGGTAAATGTTAACCACATGAATGTAGATTTTTGAGAGTGTTACCTTGCAAATAGAAGCTTGTGAACTGGTGCGTAGGTGTTTGAAGAGAGTCAGAGTATTAATAACCACACAGGCAGCACTCTTGGTTGGGACAGGTTGTTATGCTAGCAGGGAGACATCCCTGTTTATAATGTCCGAGTGTTTTTCACTGGTATCATATATTGTCTAGCAGCTTTAGGAATTACACATGCATATTCCCCAGAAGGTTCAACTGGTAAATTAATGGAGCTTGGACATGTTTCCCCTACTCTTTTTACATTTAACAAGCTTAAATGCAGGCTACTACCCCTTTTGATCCATATATATGACCTGAAGTTGGATTTCTTGTTCCCTCTTGGATAAATAGTTTTGGCAGTCTGTGATTCATAAATAATTAGTAGCTGAATTGTAATTAGCAGACTTTTGTGTATGCCAAGTTCCCATAGAACGAGACTTGGGACCTTTTCTTCATGTTACGTACATGTACACATATCTACAGATTCATCCAATGAGTGTTTGCCTTGTGGTGGTTAAAACTCTTGTAGCAGCATGTCATTTGACCTTTAAGCATACCTTAATGATGATAACAAATATTCCATTTGATAAGATGAGAACTAGAGTGCTGAATATCATCTCAACATCTGATGTAGTTGATCAATATTTCTTTTGTGTTCCACCTGTTTTCTGCAAAAGATAAATTTTAACCTCATTGTGAATTATGTGATTAATTCACAGAATTGTTTCCATTCAGTGATTATATTTTGACCTGTTTCCCTGTTGGTATGATAGTTAACAGTCTTGCCCAAACCCAAACCCAAAGATGTCTTCATCAATTTGTTAGAAGAGTTTTAGTGGCTAAAACAGTACAATTGAATATCCTGTGCTTCCAAACAGTTTGGAATTGAAAAGGGAGAACAAGTACATTTTTATGCTGATATATGGAAAATTAAATCCTATATGCGCTCACTACAGACACAGTTGAGAAATTAAAATTGTCCAAAGTCCAGAGAGACTAAAAGGTACAGATTTGTTTTGGATTTTGTTTATGTATGTATTTTGTAGACAGGTTTCATTGTTTACATTGATTTGAACAGTAATGTATGGTAATTCTATGGTAGAGATACATATATTTTCTGTCTTCTGGATTCCAAGAGTGCTTTTTGGTTCCTGCAGCCAATTATCAATGCACCATAGACACCATTCAAATGGATACTCTACTGTTGGTGCAATAAATACATTAAGCTGAATAGCATTTTATCGTTTGGTTGACTTTTTCCCGTAAGTTTAAATGTGAAAGTCCGTTTGCTGAGCTTTTATGCAAAATGGGAGCAATTCACAATGGTACATGCAGTACTTGTGGAAACATGTTTTTGATTGTGAATACCAATCCTACACCTTGAACTGGTAGAGTTTCAATCTGGCCACATTTTGCTCGTCACTTTTCTTGCACTTTTTTATTTGCCCCACACAGTTTTCTGAGTTTGCAGTGGAAGACTGGTATAAGTGCTTTCTCTGAATTCTACATACCTAAAACACTTGGACACTTCGAAAGTGCATGTTACTGGCAGTTATACAAACATCTATATGATTGTATTTAACACATTATATAGTTTATTTTTATGAAAATTTTGAGACTTTGAAGACTTTGAATGTTTGGTTTTTGTTCTCTGGCATTTTTGAAATTGTTCTGTCTGATTTCACTCATCTTCATATTTCCAAAGTTAAAGATTTTGGTCCTAAAGTTTACCTTTATTGGGTGGTTAAATACACCAACAGAATGAAAGCAGCACTCTGGTACTTACTCTTATCTTGGTAATTAATCTACATTAAATAGCAGAGTAGCAGGTAGGTAAAGTAATACTTACACATTGACAGTTTCACTAACTACTCCTTTTTTCCATTGTTTTTATGGTGGTTAGTCTTGTAGGGTATTCGTTTAACTTGTGATGTACATGTACTTGCAGTATCGTGCATTTTAAAGCAGATTTTTTATGTTGGCATGAGTGATATTTACTTCATTCGGTTGAGCATATAAAATTTGCTTTAAGTTGTAAGACGGTGTACTCCATTCAATTGGAGTGATAGTTCAGATGTCTCTAATTGTATGTGAAAGACTGTATGGTTGGTTACATATGAAAGAAAGGTTTTGATGAGTTTATGCTGAAAAGTAGTATAACCACTGCCAATGGAAAAGTTACCAAGTTGTATGCAAATGTCGCCCATAAAAAAGAAGTAAGTTTACACAAATAGAGACTTCTGCGATGGTCGGTTGTGGCATACTTGCAGGTTCTTTTTCGTTATTTGCATCGCATGTGACCTTACTCACAATCAAACTAATATGTCAATCATTAGGGACTACTGAGCATCTGAAATTCGGCTATTATCCATTCAGAAAAAGTTGATTTGTCACTTAGTGAAATATCATCTTCTTCCGGTGTTCTAGCAAGAGACACTGTTCTGTGATGAATCATAGAAGATGATGGCAAGTGGCATAACCCTAACAGTCCTCAGTCCTCCAACAGGTGAAGGATTGAGGACTGTTAGGGTTACTGAACTGCCAATAATTTAGCTCGACACCCTGATGGTACTCTCTGTTAAGCTAAATGTACCATTTGCAAAGTTCTGGTAAATATTTAGGAGAGCATTGACTAGGTGTACCTGCAATGAATTGCAGTCGCTCTTCTCCATGGGTGGCAATTGATTTGTTTGAAGATGGCATCTGAAATGACAAAGCTGCCATATGAGCTCAAGTGAAATGCATTGATTAAGATGCTGAGCAACTTTAACCTGAAGCAGACCTTCATACGTGCATCCATGTTTGCAATCATTAAGCAGCTTGCCTAGATTTAACATGTTACTACATCATTGTGCAAAACAAAACAACCCGTAAACTTTTCAGAACCTGTCCAGAAATATTTAATATATGATGAAATTATAAATAATTTACTTTATTTGTAAATTTATCTCTACCAAATGTCAGAGGTTTTTAAAATAACCAGGTTAAACCAAACTAACGTTAGTTTTAGTCCATATGTGTATAAACGTTCAGTGTGGGACGTGTTATTTTGAATAAGATTTTTATTGATATTTTGTGGTTCCATTTGAAAAGTCATGATTCAAAAGTAATGTGTGACAATATGCATCATATTAACTTCTAGTTAACCCAACGTAGAAGTCATCAATCCTTCAGAAGTTGAAGGATTGGGGACTGACAGGGTCAATGGAAACATTGTCATGTCTGACTGAAAAGGGATTTTGAAATCTGTAAATAAACATTGAAATGAAATTGGGGGTGTGATATTTTTCTATCTGGTATTTTAATTGAATGGCATATTTTGATTGGCTACTAATAAAAGACTGTCAGAACCTAATTGCCAAAAGTGCAGTTAGATTGAATTGTGACTTTTCCATTGGGATTAACCTTATTGGTCAGGACATTTACTTTGGTTGAAGTAGTTTGAATTTGAAATTTTGTTTGTAAAATTTTACACACATTACACATTGTTCGTTCAAGAAAATATTAAAAGCAAACCAGTTTCACAAATTGAATGATTCCCATTGTTGTGGAACAGAATTTGGTCAATATTGGGAATTGGGTCAATACACACTTTTTCCTGATATATGTTTGTAATTTATATTTTTCTACATGTGTTTCAATTTCGGAAGCCTGTCTAGAATGTAGCCAATGTCTTGGAGTACATGCAATATGCCAATTTTTGTGTGTGACATTTCACTTCCAGGGTCAAATGCAATTACTTGGCTACAGCTTCAGTAAAATTGCCATGGATCCTTAATTTGTGAAACTGGTTTCCTGCTTGAAATGTTCAATCGTCAAATATTATGGTTTAGTTACAACTCTGAAAGTTCTATTTTACTGTGTTTTAGTGTAAAATATTGATAGTATCTACAGTCAATGTGCCTACTTATTATCAAAGCTAATTTATTAAAGTCATAATAGGAAAAGCTTACGTCTTTTGTATTTGAATTCGTTCTCGGCTTCAGGACATTGGTGCCCTCAGGATTTGTCCGTGGGTGGGATCAGAATTGACCCAAAATACCTGCGACGCTCACCCCACCCCCTCCTGAGTTGCGCCACAATTATTTCTTTTCTCATACATGCGTGTTGTGCAATAGTTACATTTTTCACGTTTTCGACGACTAGGTGCTTTGCTTTTCACAAAGCAGTCAGCTGTGCTTTGTATGTTTGGAACGAGAAGAGACTCAGTGTCACCAAGCAATACATGTGCGAGAGCTTGGAAGGCAAATACATGTAGGTCACATTCCATTTTATTTGTGAAGAAGGCATTTTAGCGAACCGAATCGTTGAAAAAGAGAGTTCTGGGGTCTCCAGACTGGTGAGCTATTTGCATATAACATGACGTCGGTGCAGTGCACCTCTCGTGGCCGGACCCTGGATGTGCATCTTCAGTATATGAAAAATTTGGGTGACGTATCGGGCTGCGTCACTGGTTTTAACCAACAGGAATTGGTGCAGGCCCCCACATGCTTGGCTGTAGTTAAATAGCCAGCGCGTCAGTTGCAGCGTGATTCGGTAGGCGAGATGGTGTGTACATGTACGTCTACTGACGAGAACCTGAACAGAGGAACAGGTACTGTATTCGTCTTGGACATCCTGAGGTTTGCGTAATTCGTTAATCTGTTGTCAGTTTCCTTCTTTAGCCCTCACCCCTTTGGGATAAATCATAGGCTATTTAAAATCATTGTGGGACTGTTTACTCGGTGTCGATGTCGGGCATGTGTTCATAATTGCTAACTCCAAGTTAGCAAAAGAATGTCGGTCTTCCGTCGGGTCGCTGGGCGTGCAGACCACTAATTCAAGTGAGAATTT